TTAATAGGTGATATTTTGTATTTAGCGACCATTGAGGAAGTAGACCATTGGAACATGTGTAAATATGTATATTACGTTTGCGTGAATGCTCACCTTGCACAAAATATCACATTTGTATGAAATGGGTGCTTGTTGGTCTCAAATTTTCCATTTAAAGCATTTTCTTTGCATTTTGAGGTTCAGATAGGTTGTATTTTGCATCGAGCATTTTTGGGAGCCGCGGACCATTCTCGCGCGCTTAAAATCACTTAATACGTTTGTGTGTATAATCGTTTTAGCCTAGAAATGCATTTAAGGTCAAATGAGCACTTGGTGCAAAATTGCATTTTCTTCGTTTTTAGCCTAAATTTTTCTTTCGACATGGTTGGGTAGAAAACTCTATTTTAAAGGAGGTTTCTTCTTCGTGTGTTTCCAAAAAAAATTATCTAAGAGTCTGAAACGGCCATTGAACAGCAAAAAGCTGTCAAAAACCCTTACTGTCAGCATGGCATGTCATGGGGGCAACCATGGTATGCGCGGCATGCACCAGCACGCGTGAAGGGACTGTCATGGCCTCCTCGTCGAGTCGCCGCGACGTCGATTCTTCTATTGGGCTTTTCTCCCTCATCCGAACTTCGATTCAAGAGAATTTTTTTTTTAACTTTATTAATTTTTCGTTGTCTATCCAACGGTATACTTGGTTACACTTGGATCTTTCTAAAAAATTACCAGTTTGCCCGTAGGGCTTTATTTGTCCGTTTTTCGTCGTTAGGCCATATCTTCTTCTTCGTTCGGAATCCGAATCAAGCGATTTTTGAGTCTAACTTGATTAATTTTTTGTTGTTAATCCATTGGTGTACTCGGTTACACTTAAATATTTCTGAAAAATTTCCAGTTTTCCCTTGGGGCTAAACTTTGCCGTTTTCCTTTTTAATTCGCTTCCGCTTAGCTTTCTTTCGAGTTCCGTGACTTCATGGAAAGTCACGCTTGTGTCTTAGGGATGATGTACATTTCTAGAGACGTTGTTTCCATGCAAAAAGACTATTTTACCTTTAAGGGCTTATTTCAGTCTTTTTTCGATCTTTTATTCCGCGTCGATTCTCGTGAAGTTTCGTGGCCTTATAGAAGGTCACTTTGGCGTCCTAGGGATGTTGTATATCCCTAAAGACCTTGTTTATGTTTTCACTTCCGCATTTCGGATTCGTTATCGAGTCAAACTTCGGTTCATCACAGGATACACTGGTAACTAGGGCTGTCACAGGCGAAACTGGGGGTATACGCATGGGGTTTCAAATTAGGTTCGATTTAGGTTTCTCGTGGTGAGTGGTGGTATCGGACTGAATCTTGGCCCTCCAACACGATTAACACCAGAGAAAATGAGGGAGAAATATAGCAGCCACGAACCATCGTCGCCGCAGCCAACCACGATTGTTACCTGCACCATCGTTGCCATTAAACAAAGCCGATCGTGATCTGGGTTTCTCTTATTCACCAGTACGAAGCAAAGTGAGACCCAGGAACATCCACCGCAGCAGAGAGGGTATCGGTATAGGATGATAGAGACAGAGAGGGTATGGTAAGGATAGAGGTACTGTGTATGATTAGAGAGAGAATGTAAAATGAGATTATTTTGAAGGCTATTTTAGTAATTTACACTTTTTTTATGAATTTGTTGACCAAGTCAAAGGGTAAAATAATCATTTTCTTGGGTAGAGGGGGTGTGTGTGAAAACTTTTAAATCTTCAGGGGTGTCAATGTAAACTAAGTGCATTAACCGTCCACTGAGTGACGTTGACTGAAACATCAGGATGTGTGAGTACAAATTACCTTCTTCTTTTTTTCTATATAAGAAAAAAAATCAATTTATTTTGTGTTTGTAAGTTTCCCAAAAAAAAAAAAAAAAAAAAAAAAAGATTATTTTAAAAAACTGAACCGGAACAGATCTTTAGTCCTTTTTAGGTCTAATTCAGATTTGATAATGACTAGCCTTTTTATAGAAAATGAAAGAATGCAAAATTCGTTTAGCAATGAAGGACAGACATGAGTTAATGGATTTTAAATTTGCTGTTTTTTTCCTGTCTAAAAGTGAACAGAAAATGACCCAATTGCCATTGCCAGGGTTAGTACTCAAAATTATTTGCCACACTCGGTCATGTGATTCAAATAATGGAACTCATTTTATTCTATAAATATAACACAATTAATGGCGGCAGTACCAGTTCTTAAAAGGGAGAAGAAACACATGCGTTTTCACTATTGTAGTTGGGAAGAAACAAAAAGAATTATATAAAAGTAAAGGGATTTTACTGTTTTTTAGTCATGCACATATCATAACTTTTACTATATGGTTTTGATTTAGGATGTCTGTTTTGCCTTAATTCGATTTTTTTTTTTTATAATTATTATAAAGTTTTAATATGTTTCACTTTTCACACCAAACACTCCAATAAATGGATCAAATCTCTTGTGATTTCTCCGACTGTAACTCTTTTAATACAAAAATTGATCTAATAATTAATGTATTAGTTCATTGATCTTCTAGTAAGTCACGTATGTCATTCCAGTCGGAATTTCTCACGTGTCACTTGAAGATTTGTTTTACATTCGAACCAAAATCAGTATTCTCACACATCATTTTGAAAATTGTTTTACATTGTAATTTGTACTAGTGTTAGATGGGAAATCTTTCCTCTAAGCCTAGGTTAAAATTCTTAATTCGATTAAAAAATTGCCCACTTGTCTGTTAAAAAAATTATATCCCACACTATTTCAAATATATACATATATAGTTTAATTGGTGTAAAAATAAATAAATAAAAACCATAATTATTCATCATATCTTTCTATCCACTAGTGAAAATATGGTCAGTGCTAGTTTATTCTTCTCTTTGTTTTTATCGGAAAATAGTTTATTCTTCTCTTTCCTCACTCCTTTCTCTTACGCCAAACAACGAAAGCCAAGTCCATTATTGTCCATCTATTCTCTCATTTATTATTTCCCCACTCAAACACCAACATTTTAGACCGTTGGCAAATCTGGTACGGTCACAAACCTTTTTCTTTTTCTTTTTCTTTTTTTCTTTTCTTTTTTTTTTTTGTTTTCCCAATAAAAGTATGGATTTGAGAATAAAAAAATAATAATAAAAAAATAGAAGTATTGACAGTGATGAAAAATAGGTCATTATGTGGACTGTATATCATTTTTACTGTTGAGAGAGATTATCGAATACAATTCTCTGCACATAATCTTTTATCAACTAAAATGTTTAATTATCAAAATGGAATGTGTAATTTTGGCACTAACTTCATACACCATTAAAATCACATCTTAAAAAAAAAAACATAAATAAAAACTTTAGTGTCAATGCAAGTGAAAACACAACAAATGTTATACTCAGTTTAGATTTAAAATTGGAAAAAAAAAAAAAATTAAAAAAAAATTGTTGGTGAAGTGGTTAAGAAGATAGAGATGGGAGACATAGAGATCCCACTAGTGTACCAAAAATTTGTACATACAAATTTTGTGTTCAAAAATTTAGGAACAAAAATGAGCAATAAATAAAAATTTCATAATCAAGAAATAAGTACAATCGACTCTATTACAACATAAAATCTCTTGTTAAATCTCCTTATAAAGTCAGTGTAAAAGATTCGAAAGCTTAATTTTAGACTAATGGTTGAACGTTATTCGAATTATTCAAAATTGTTTTTAATCGAGGATCAATGAAACTTGATCTAAAATAATGTGTTAAAGGTGTTTAAAATTTTAAATTAATTTTTTTTTAATTTCAAAACCTAAACACGAATTTTGTGCTCCCAAATTCCCAATTTAAACAAAAGTATATATATATTGCTTCTATAATGCTTATATTGAAATTTGTATGAAAAACGCACTCACAAAGTAACGTAGTTATAGCGCAGCCCATGCCACCACATAGTGTCGCCTTTGGGCCAGCTTTGGTCAACACAGAATGGTGTCATTGGTACTTGGGCACCAGCTTAATTGGCTACTAAGCACTGACGTGACCACACAATGCTGTGGTCCAACGTTTCAAAAGGAGCACAATAGAATCATTAAAAATATATATTATTTCATCAGTAATATACATGGTCCCAGAATCACGGGGTCGGGGAATAATTATTACGGCATCAGACCAATCACAACTTGTCATGTAATTAAATATATTAATTTTATTTATCTTCTAATTATATGATAAGATGGAGATAACATTATTTTGAATTATTTAATAATTTCTTGTATTTCTGGAATACATGAATAGATTGAGTCATCTAATTAGACTCAAGCATCGCCTCAAAATTAAGTGTTTCATAACAAACTTGAGATTAAAAAGAGAATAAATGAAAATAATAAAGGTTATTAAGATAGCCGCTCAAGAGCGGCATATACCCGTCGAATGTGGAGATTGCTTCATCAAATAACGAGGGTGGACAATCATCCGTGGATCCCATTTGGTGATCCAATATGCACCTTGATAAGTACATAACTCTCTCCGTGATGAAGAAGATCCTTATTCTTAATCGAATAGACACATGAAGGGATGGGACTCATCACTTGACTATAGCCAGGTGTATGAGTTTTACCCTAATAATTTGATTTTCATTTTAGAAAATGTTCTTACCCTAGCTTTTTGAACCACTAGTTTTTGAATTCAAATCATTTTAAAAATAAATTAATAAATAACACGAAATAAAATGCTACTTCAACTTAACTTGATTAATAATTAAGTAGAGAGTAATGATCGTTTGCATATCGGTGAGCAAGAAATTCATTCATCCTATACATAGTAACGTAACAATCTCGATTTTCAATTTCTTGCCTAACCGCATTTCCGTTCAAATAGATACTAAAGGAACTTTCAATTGAGGTAAGCTTGATGAGCTCATTTACAGCCATACAAAGTTTTTATACAGAATCTCAACATGAATGATATGACAAAAACATTCTTTATAATTGACAATATATAAAATGAACAATGACTTTACCCATAAATTGATCAAAATTGCACAATCAAATTGTATTTGGTCTACCAAATAAAGTTGCTTAGAAATTAAAGGAAGTGCCAACTTGTTCCTATGTCCCATTTTCCCATTTCATGAATATATATATATTATAATCATTTCAATCTCAACCTTTAAAAAAGGACTTTCACGTGAAAAAACAAACACAAACTAGACAGACTCTCTCTCTATATTCCTCTTTTGTTCACATTGGCCGCTTCTTTCTTGGTTTTACCAAATGTCCAAAAAATACAGAGCAATTTCGCACAATCAATGCCCACCAAATAATTACTACTTCAAATAATGGTCAATCATTGTAATTTTTAAAAAAAATATACTACCTCCGTTGCATCCGTCTCAACTTGTGAATCACGATTTCCCAAATTCCCAAACAGAATATCTTTTTTGAGACGGAGTAAAAATTTGGACGTGGCTCGTGACTCAGTAGTGAGTCATGGTACAGCACAACCATGCCTCGAAAACCCGAGTCGCGACCGATCCTTATCGAACTCGAACAAGTACCCTTGTTGCATCAGATTGCCGATCACCGAGAACCCAGCAGGCGAGCTCACGGGCTGTATTGCCAGACACTTCACGCCATCCGCGGTGTCCACAAAGTAGTTCCTTGGAGGCGGCCTGAACACCGACTCACCAGCGAATTTGAAACTCAGTCTGGGTAGACTCGGTCTCGACACGCCCGACACATTGACACAGAGATCGAAGCCGAGTGTCGGGTCGGCTGGACTTGGCAGCTTAACGCGCTGTCTGAAAGCAGATAAGATCCGACGGTAAGCCGGGTCGGCTAAAAAGGTCAGGGTCGTGCCCGAGTCCACGACAGTCCCACCATTACCCAACTCATCAATGGACCAAACCATAGGGTTAATATGTAATTTCACATCGTCGATTGAAACACTTTGGATCCCAATATAGTAAAATGTTGGAGAGAGAGGGTTGATTTGGAATGGAGTGAAACTCAATTTTGAATTTCCTTTTACGACGGCGTTTTGGCTGCCGCCGATCATGAGATAGCTCGTCGGAGATGGAGAGAGAGTGTAGTCCATGAGACAATATGAGAACTTGTTTCCGAACCGGTGGCCCAATTGGGAAGCCAGCGAGATGGGCCCGCGGCCCAGGCCCATTACACCATGCGCTCCGTTGAAGCTCGGGCCGGACACGCTCGGTCCAGATACAGAAAACGCGCAACCGAACGACAGCGTTTTGTGCTTCACGACCCTGCCGGAGCTGGTGTTGAACGCCGTCGTTTCACGGGAGAAGAAGCCGGCGGTTGTAGAGCCGTCTGCGTAGGAGTATTCATAGCGACAGGGGCTGTGGAGGCGCGTGTGTTTGCATCGCGTAAGCTTGGGGTGAGGGACGAGTCGACACGGAGAGTTGAAACAGTGGTGGGGAGAGAATGTGGTGGAGTGGCGGGCGAGGAAAGCCGATCCCGGTGGGTGGTTGTCGCAGCGGCCGCGGCAAGCGGAGCAGGTGACCCAGACGAGGTCGCTGCCGGTGTCGGCCACAAGGAGAAGGCGCTGGGGTGGGGTGCCGAGGCTGAGATCGACGAAGTACTGGCCGGAGCCGGTGGAGGCGCCGGAGATGAGGGGGAGTTTGGGGGTTTTGCGGCCGTGCAGGGCGGAGAAGAGGACGGAGAGCCGGTGAGCGTCGGAGGAGAGAGCCTCGGATGGGGAAGGAAATAGGGTTCTGTGGAGGAGTGGTAACTTGAGGTAATCGGTGGTGTTTTGGGTGCTGCAGGGATCTGTGAATGCAAGGAGGAGGAGAGAGAAAATGAAGAGGAGAGAGAGTGGGGAAAGAGGAGACAGTAGCACCATTGTGGTGTTGGGGAGGGAGGATGAGAGTGTGAAGAGGTACTGATATGTAAATATGGAGAGAGATTAAAGAGTGGTGCGCATTTTTTTTTTTTTTTTTTTTTTGGTTCAGAGGATGTGGTATAAAGTTGTATTTTTATTTTTACAACTAATTCGTACAACAATTTATGAAATTTTGAATCAGCTCCATATGCGTTTAAAGATACACTGCTGTACCTCCTCAATCCATTGCATTTTGAATTGGAAAATTCCATAAAATATGAATTACACTATTTAATTGGATAATTTCTCTAATTCGTCAAGATAAAATAAATAAAATAAAATTTGATAACTCGTTAATTATTCAAATTAAATAATCCATTTGATATATAAATCGGATATGGATTATGAACGATTCGATCCAATAATAATCTGATTCGATATAATATATTATAAGGGCAAAATAAGGAAAGCACCCTTAATGTTTTAATTTTGGGTAAATAACACCCTTATCGTTTATTTTGGATATATAATTCCGTTAAGTTTGAAAAAATGAGTAAAGAAAAGCTTATGTTGTGTACATAATAAGTCCGTTAGGTTTGAAAAATAAGCCAAAAAAAAAAAAAAAAGGCTTGAAGTAACTTTTAAGATATAAAATTCCGAAAACACCCTCATCTATTCCTATAACGCCCTTATAAGGGTAAAGTGAGAAAAATATCCCTAATATTTACATTTTAGACAAATAATACACAAATCCTTTATTTTGAGTATATAAATCCGTTAAATTTGAAAAAATGTGACAAATAGGGCTCCATGTCATTGTTTCGTTTCATGTGTATTACAAATGATATTTTTAAGATATAATTTTTTTTAAATATCCTTCTCTCTTCTGATAATGTCCTTATATATATACACATACTTATCACATTTAATTATTATTATTTTTTGCTTATTTTTTATTCAGTTGTAGAGGGATATTTTAGTCTTTTCAGCATTCAGGTCCTTGTTTGCACCAAAATTGAATGTTAACGAGATTTAGAATGTATTGGGAGTTATATACTCTATATGCAAACCATAAAGACGTTTTTTTGCCAGCAACATTGTATTATATATATAAAAAGAATAACATTTTAGTTATTTCACATTTAATTGATTTTTTACTTATTTTTTTTAATTCAGTTATAGAGGGGCATTTTAATCTTTTCAGCATTCAGGTCATTGTTTTCCTTTATATGCATCTTAGTCAAAATTAAATGTTAAGAACTTTTTAGAACGTACAGGGAAATTATATACTCTATATGCATATCATAGGGATATTTTTCGCTCGGGACCTTATATTATATAATGTTATAACATACTAAAGTAATATTTACATATTATTCAAATGTCTTTTATCAATTATTGTTTTCCTTTTCTCTCTCTATTTTATCTTTTTATTATATATATATTTTTTCAACAGTATGTCAAATACCTACTTTTCTACCTTTTTTATATTTTATTTTTCTTCTCTATCTTCTCTCATTTTTTCTTAAACATTGTTGGCTAATATCTCTTTATAATAATAATAATAATTAAAAATAAAACAAAATAAAAATTGACAAAAAAGTTACATTTTTTGGATTGGGTTATCAAATCATATATTTGATTAATAACAAAATCGAATATGAATTTAATCATTAAAAAATCCGTCGAGTTATCGAAGGATCAGATCATATACTATCCATATCATATTTAAATTCAGATCAAGCCTGACCTGGTCCAAATCCAATTTATTTATCGGCCTAGATACCACCATGTTACAAGAGTGTAATATATAGTGTATTATTATAGTTCTTGATGTTTAAGGAGGAGCTTAGGTACCATTAGTTTTTCTTCTTCCTTTGGTTTTTCTCTTCCTTAGATATGATAATGATTTCTATTTTTATTTTCTATGCAATTTAATTATAATTAAATTTATTTTCAACACATTAAATTTTTATATAAATTTTTGTGTAAAAAAACTATAACAAGATGTACTATTTTCGTCCCAAATTAAATATTCTGTATAAAAAATCGTGACTTATAAAAATTAATATCAGAGGGAGTAATAGAAAATCCTTTACAACATAGGATTCAAACATCTTGAAAGTACTAGAGTACGGATTGAGAGGGGAAAGAAAGCAAAGTGAAAAAGTCTACTAAAATTGCGGAAAGTGGGTTGGTCATTTTTGGTGTAACGAAATTGGGTTAGCGTTGAATTTAGTGTGCGTTAGCTTTGTTTTTGGTATGCATAGTTAGCATCCAATGGTGTCCTGTTACACGTGAAAACATCCCTATGTGGGCCCTTTTCATTTGTCAGCTGTCTGTCTATTCTTTCAAGAAGGGAGAGAAAATTTTGGTGAAGGTAGAGTGTGCGTCACTGAGGCAGCCAAGGCAGCAGTTTTTCAATTTGATGATTACAAGCATTAAATTCATAATAATTTTTGGAATTTTTATAAATACATGGGCTTAATGTCACGCTCCGCCTATGAAGATTATGCGAAAGCAATGTTTTGGTGCCACACGGGAACAGTTAGAGTGGTGCTGAAACTTTAAGCCCGTGATATTAAGGCCTAAATGTTACTTTAAAATAAAAATAAACTCTTAAAGTTTCAATTATTGATTTGACTAACACAATGTTTTTCTAAAATAGACTATACTTTTTATAAGTTTTAAAACGGATATATAATCAACCAATATACATATTAGACAAAATAACTTTTTAATCCAATTATTACTCTAGTTATCTGATAAAATTAATAAACTTAAAGAGAAATTAGAAGTGATACAAGAAAGTATTCCCAGAGAATATTCTAAAACCATTTTTTATCTTGTATTCGATTTAGTAGCACATCTTGGTCTTACTTCTGCGTAGATTATATTTTTTGGTTTATTGCCCAATAATCAATCCTTTTCTGCAACAACCAAGCGTGTAAATTTACTATAACCTCAACCTCATAAGCGAAAACCACAATGGCCATTATCTTTATAAAATCCAAAGAAATAATAAGATAATGAACATGATGCTAAAAAATATATAGAATAAATAATGAAGAAGGTAAAAAATAAAGCTAATCAATTATAAGATTCCTAATAAGGATGTGTTACTAAATCGAATACAAGATAGAAAATGGTTTTATCTGGTATACTGCAAAGCCAATCGTCAAGTTAACCTAGACGAAAGTTATTTTGTCTAATATGTATATTGGTTGATTGCAGGTGTGTTTTAAAACTTGTAAATCTTCTGGGTTCTTTATCAATTGTGTAAAGTTCAAATAACGCAGTTAAATAATCAGGACTACTAGTGCTCATAAAACTATTATAATAACCTTTGCATATCGGTTTTAAGGGATTTTAAATAGTCTAGGATTATTTTGTTCATGTTCTCATAAATATGCAAACTACGTTCATGTAATAATAATATACCTATGCTAAGACCACTTATACGTAATTTTTCCATAATTTTTCCAAAATATATGTATACACATAAGGCTAGAGTTATACACTCAATATATGTATAATATAAACAACTAATCATATAAATATTGCCTTAAAAGTTTTGATAGTTAAGAGAGATACACATACACATCTCTTAGTAGTACTTTCCTACTTTGTACCATTCAAATTTGGCTTTGGCATGAAAATATAAGGATGCGAGTTTAACTATCATCACAATTAATTTGAATATAATGAGCTCAAATTGATGTTTCAAAGTTTGAGTAAAATAACAATCCTTCTGTCTAAAAAAAATAAAAATAAAAAATAAAAAAAATATCCACGGCGTCTCATATTAAAAATATATTTTGAGAGCTGTGACTCACAAGTCACAGTTTGTGAAGTAGACATTTAAAACAAGACTGAGTTAATATAACTTTTGAAAAATATAACTTTTAAGAATTTAATTTTTATGTTTTTTTTATTATAGTGGTATGAAATAAAATTTTTAATTCGTCCTTTCAAATTTTGTCTTGACATTCTTTGATGGAGACACTTATTACAAGATAAGAGGATAAATTAAAAATATTTAAAATATAATTCATTAAACTTTGAACTGGAATACTTATTTTGGGACAATTTTAAAAAAAAAAATTGGACAAATTTTATGGAACAAAGGAATATCAAATTAATTTTGGGTGATCGCCTTTTAGACAATATTATGTTTGGAATGAATGCAAATAATTTCTTAAGGGGTGGGTGTGCGGGCAGGGATAAACTCAGGATTGTTTGAAGAGGGTAATGGTAGAATTTTTTTATAATTTCAAGGGAGGCAATTTGAAAATTTCTTTAATATATAGTTCAAAAAAGAAAAAATCACTAGTGAATCCTTGCGTGAAAGTATCAATTAGGAGGAAAGATGTATTATACCTGTCAATTTATAAACTTGATCTTTGCACCAAGCAAGGACCTCTATGAAATTGCATGGTAACTTGTTTGTGCTGCTTAGCTAGTGTCACACTCCACCAATTTAGAAGGGATGTTACATCACGCAAATAATACATTATGGCATTAGGGTTGGGTAGTAGGACCTAGCATAGTGTCTACTTCGCATATATGGAATGTTGGTTTTAGAGTGGTCCACACTTGCGTAGAAAATTGTAAATTGTTGTAGAGAGAAGATTTTAGAAATACCTTATAGAAATTGGTAAATGGAAGAATATTCTAGGAAGGCTTTTGAGGATGCTATATAAAAGGTTAAGTCTCATTTGCAATCATCTAGAACTAACATTGAGTGTCGAGATTAAAAGTGAGAGTGTGCATGGGTGTGGTTGGGTCACTAGTCAACTCATACGCCCCTCATATTAGTTTTGGTATTTTTACACCTTTTAAAAATATTGATAATTCAAAGTATGAAATGAAATAGTGAATTGTTAAAACAAATACGCATTTAACTCCCATTAATTTCTGCAAAATTTAATGTATGCATTTGAAAAATTAATGAACACTATTATCGAAAAATGTTTGTTGAATTAAAGTGATAAGTGAAATTCAAATAAGTATTTTAATTTTAGTTTGCATGACAATTAACTTACATACTCAATTTTTTTTTTTTTTCTTTTAATTCTTCGATTGTCACTTTTCATATTGGAGTTTAAAAATTTAAAGATGTATTAACAAGTAGTTTCAACTTTCAACCATACAACAAAGTAGCTCTCTCATCATACAAAAATATGTTCTTTTTATAGTCAATAAAATCACACTGCAATTATGTTTATTTCTTGACCATGGAATCAGTCTCTTTACGTATGGAAATAAGACTACGTACACTTAATCTTCAAGATTCAAATATTATCAGCATATATAAAAAATATAAAAAATGAACAATGGGTCTTCTTTTTCTGCGCACCACGTGCATCAGCATCACGAGATAAATTTTGTAAACAGTCAGTGTTTTGGGAGTGAATCTAAGATGATATGGTTGTAACTACAAATTAAAGAATTGAAAAAATTAGATACAAGTAAAATCATAACAGAAGCATGTGACTGGGGGAGACAATGTCAAATGCATTTTGTCTACCATGCTCACATATTTGAATACAAAAATAGGGGATACAAGTTATCAGGCCGTGTTCATATATGATATACATTATATAATAATATAGTACATAATATGTATGGAAGACAATAGCTTGATGAAAACTGTAGGTCAATTCATGTTACCCAGAGTACAAAATGGATCGATCCATCCCAAGTCGGTGGCACGTGTATAGAAAGAAGAAACAATATATCACATTGTCTTCTCAAACATGATTTGATTCTTGTCCAACCACCAACCATACCCATACCTATAAATGCTTTCTTATTTCTTTTTATTTGACAAAATTATATATATGCGGGATATTTTGGAGTGCCAAACTTCATATATATATATATATATATATATAGAGAGAGAGAGAGAGAGAGAGAGAGAGAGAGGGGTATGCTTTCATTGTTCCAAATGAGGTAATAACCTTTTGTAAAGGATGGGTTCTTGCCTATTTACTTAAAAGATCAAATTATTGTTACATACCCATTCATTTATACTCAATCATTTTTTTATCCAAATCCAATGTGAAACAAATATCCTTATTACACCGTATTAGACTACGAATAGATCATACCTTCCAAACTTCCAAAAAAAAAAAAAAACACACCCTTCTCATCAATTGTGAGAGCAATGTCTTGCAATTACTTTGGTGTACCTGCATTCAAGAATGAAATATGAAGCTTTATTAATTTCATTGGATGTCACTTTATCTAGTTTATTTTTCTCAAATCACTCCAAATCCAGCCTTTTCTTTTCCTTCATTTATTTTTTTTTTATTTATTTATTTTTGATAAATCAACTTCAAAATAATAGGAATTTTGAAAAAAATTGCAAAATACTCTTTAACAGGAAGTCTTTGTTGCTTTCATACCTTATTACTTGCACTGTTACACAGGCCTAATAGTGATTTCAATGTTTCCCCATGCCCTTCTTGTATATGATATAGCAATGTATTAGAGGATGACAAAATTGTCATTTACAAGTTCTAATTACAATAACCTCAAAACACTAATTGTCTAACACAATAACTGGACAGATTAAGTTTTTGAAACCATTACAGAAACCATCCTCCATTGCAATTTCTATATATGCAAACAGCAATCGAATACAGAAGCCAATCTCACTGACATTTGAAATCTCACCACAGCATTGCATATATATGTACATAAAAATTTCAGTGCCAATTTGAGTAAAGCCCTAAAACAACAGCAGAATCCATATCAACTACCTCAAAGTTGCCCCTTTTAAAAATATGCCTGATAGACGCTTTTAAGTCCTACGCCTGCTAGAAGAAACAGCACCCTGTGACAACGAAGACGGTTTAAAACCCCCTACCAGTAAATTAGATGCTGTGGCTGCCTTAATTTTTCTTCTCTTGGCCTCTAGATCAAGCCTTTTTGTACCGGACATGGAAGAACCGGAAGGCCCAGAAAAGATAGAAGAAGCATTAATTAATGCCCGCTTATCCTTTCTGTTCCTATCGAACTTGGAGGAGAACTTCACACGTGCTGCAGCAGCAGTATCTTCTTCAGCCGCTGGAAGCAGTCGTATGCCAATGCCCTTTCTCCTGGAAGCATCCTCTTCTTCAGCAACTCTTTTCTTTTGATTCTGAGAAAATTAAAAATTGGTGAAAACCTTGCACGTTAAGGATAAAGAAGAAGAAAGATGAAAAGGCTAAAAAATTTAAAAAGTAGCATACCCTAAGTTGGGACCGAAGAGCTTTGTTGAGGGCATAATCATCTTGATGCCTAGCATCAGATACCCGCTGAAGGCGCACTATAACCGGCTCAGCTTCTTTCTTCTTCTGTAAATCTACTTCCTGATGTTCAAGACGGTAAAAGGGATCTGCAAGCTTACCTCTTTCTGGAAAAAACAACAAATTAAATTATGTCAGGTCCAAACTAAAAAAAAAGGAACACAAAAAACCAAAAACTAAAAGGATTAATGGATGTCCTTGGAAAACCGAACGGGACACTTTTTTTTCATAACATGTTGCCAAATATCGGCAATCTAAAAAAAGAACATCATGAACAGGGAATATATATGAAGTAATGCCTAAAAATACTTGGTGCAATGTATAGTTGCTCCAGTGTGACCTGAAGGTCACGGGTTCGAATTAGGAAACAGCATGTCCACATACAGAGGTAAGGCTGCATACATCAAACCTTTCCCAGACCCCGCAGCGGCAGAAGCCTCATGCATGGGGCTAGCTGTGTCTAAAATTCCTTGGTCAAACTCAGCACATACAAAGTATATATCCATGTAAATTTCATATCTCATCTGAAAATACTAGCAAAAGCATGATGAACTATTTTGAAAAGCTAGAGTAACATAATGGACGCTCTATTTAGAAAGGACATCCAAATGCCTGTGAATTTTTCTATATTGATAACCACCTTCATCAGCAGGAAGTTCGAAGGTTTCTGCATCCTCAATGTCATACTCCTCAGTCTTTTTCTGGGCCCCACTGATAATTACATACTCACAATTTTTGGGGTCGGTCTGAATAACTATCTCATGCTTGCAGCAGGCAGACTTCATGGTAAAGCTCCATATCTGGATGAAGGAAATAGACATTCACTATTATCTGATTAGGAAAATAACTTTACCAAAAGCAGATGTGATTTGAACTTGCTGTCCTTTCCAATATGATAAAATTGAGATGTGATCCAAGGAACAGAATAGGTATGTGCCTACTAACTCAGGAACCACATGTAAACAGAAAAAGAATGAATATTTAACCATAAGCTAACATAAACAGTTGCTCTGAACTATGCAAGTCACTTCTTAATATAGTACACGCCTGCGTGCGCGTTCGCGTGTGCGCGCGCACAGGCAAATTCTTTGATGTTCAATGCCAAGTTCTATCAAGCTGATAAGTTACTTCCCAAGCCTTTGCTACATTTTTTGTTATCCTCCCCTCTCCCGCCCTCGCAATATGTGTGTCCCTATAGACATGCATGTTTGTTTTCCATAATAATACATGTAAAAAAATACAGCTCTTCAGATACTTGTGCTCCCACGGTGCCAAATACAGTGGTAAGAAGATCATCAATCATTGAGTATAGCTTACCTTTGTGGAATAATAATTCCCCACTTGCTTTTTCTCTGCATTGAACCTCACACCCTTCGCAATCATAGAATTGCATCCACCACACCAAATATTGTAAGGCATTTCGAACCTGAAAAAGCAAATGACATCAATTAGAATTACCAACTAAGCATTTTCAAAGAAGATTGAAAATGGCACTTTCCCATAGGCTTCCATGAATAAGTGGACATTTTTTTTTTTAGACAAGTAAACAAATTAATTGCATCAAAAGTGAATGAGTAAAGCCAAAAGCCGATGCTTTCCTTATGTGGAATCTCAGTGCATCCTCCTAAAATAACAAGATTTGTTTTTTCTTCCTTTTTATAAGGATTCTAAAATAACATGAAACCTATAAAATTGTTGAAGATCAAAAGACAAAAAAAAAAAAAAGCAAAGAACCTTGGACCAGCTCATGGTTATTAATAGCAGACACAGACTGCGATTATGGTTGGATCAATTGAAATGAGGACTCAAGATCGATTCCTATCCAGAAAATAGGCGAATACACTTCTTGATTTACAACTCCTTGTTCCACATAAATATTCCTCAATCCAAGAAATGTGAACTAAATCTCATCAAGAACAATTTTTCCAGCCTCAAGTAGATTTAGATTTAAAATGATGAATCCAATCCCAAGTAAGCAAATCATGCTTTAAAAAAAATGACTAAAAAGTCCCCTATCTTGAATCTACTTGGGTCTTCGTGCTTCATAAACTTTGGTTCAAGATTAGCCGGGTGGTTTTGTAATTATTTTTCTTGGGAGAATGGGATTCAATGCAATTTAAAATATATTATAGATTAATTAAAAAATAATAATATAAAATTTTAGAAAAGAGAAACAACAAACATCTAGCTCTAAGCTCTAAATTAGTGATTTCATTCATGATTCTAGGGATAAATGAACCAAAAAAAAAATCATTTTTTTTTTTATATAGTATTATTTTTTCACATATCCCTATCATATTTGTGTCCTATTTTTTCTAAGATTTTGTCATATCACTGTGTCTGTATTCTATTGTACCCGAGTCTGTATCCGCACTTCCTAGCTCCCAACATTGATTGTGCCCCACACCCCCACAAAAAAAAAATAAATAAATAAAATTAAAAAATCACTTCTATTAGTCTCATTGGGCCTTTAGTTAGTTTAAACCCAATACCATTAATAGTTTAGTTTCTTAATCCCAATAGTAATATATATCATGTATATAGTAATATAATATTGTATATATTATATAATATAATTTGATACTACTATATTACTTTTCTTTGCTTTCGAAACCAAAGCTACTGGAAGTCTCAAACGTCAAACCTGGAAAGAACATAACAAGGGAAAGCTTCATGCCCTATTCCTCCTCCTCCTATATAATAGGATTGTATAGATTCTATCATTCTGGCAACTTGGGAGTTAGAAGATAGAGAGATTAAAATATGCAAGTTTCATTTTCTAAGTCACATAGAGCGGGAGCAGGAGTGTGAGTGCCAAGTCTAAAATATTTGAAAGCAGGAGCGACTTGAGAGCATCTGCACATACAAAAACCTTCGATACCTCAACAATGAATGGAACTCGAGTTGCTCCTGCCACTATCCCCTATGTTTGACTGAGCTCTATTTCAACTACTAATGCATAAACCCCTTGGTTCTGATTCTATGCAATTTGAGCTTGACATACCCATGTACCTAGGGTGCTTGAAAAGAAATAGGTTATTATTATTATTATTATTATTATATTATGTATGTATGCTTATCTCATTATATCAATTTATTAAAAATTATTTTCTCTGCATTTTTATAATTAATAGAAATTGCCATTTGATAATCTATTTAGAATTATTATAATGTAGTGAACTTTTATACTTGAAACAAAAAGTTGCCAAATGATTAGATGCACCAGTTTACCCTGTATAGAATGTATTTTTTAATTCATTTACTTATAACCAAATGTAGGGAATATCTCTAGCCAGGGAAGAAGGATGCACAGACACGTCACAGCCATTGGATGGACAACCGAGGGAAGGGAAGTGGAATGCATGCCCACACGTTACAATCATTGAATGGATAACTGAGGGAATCCCATGACAGATGGCGGCTATTGAAGGGATTCGTTTAAATCCGCGTTCTCAAAACTTGAATTCGTGAATTCAGAAAATTGAATTCACAAATTTTCGTTGAATCCGCTCTCGATTCGCAAATTCGCACACGGAGTGCAAAACAGTCCCCCTCCACAAATTATGTGACTTGATTCATTCTCACTCCTATCACTCTTTTTTCAATTTTAAAAAAATCACAAATTCTAGTTTTTCATTATTCAAAGCCCTAATATAATACAATAACTCAATACTTATGGGATATGAAATCAATGCATAACAGCTGCATTTGCCAACAGAGATTTAGAAAATGTCATCACTAACGCTATGCTTCTCTAGAATACTAAGACATTCTAAGGATTGTACTAGTGAAAAGCTAATAGCAATTTATTATAACAATACTCATCAGCTACTCAGCTGCGTGTGCAAAACCTAATTTCTTTCTTGAAATTGAACAAAATCCTAATTTATTTTAGAAAAAACTAACATTAAGTATAGTATTTTCAGAATGTGGAAGATCAAGGCATTATTGGTGTCCACCCACAAGTTCGAATATGGCATGCTGAGGCTTTCAGCCCTTCAGCTATTGGCATATTGCCAATATCACATAGATACTTCTAAAAAAGTTAAATATATAGATATCCTTCACACATATCAAAGCAAGCTTCTTGAGATACAATCAAATAATTGCATATGCTTCATAAAATGTGTGTGGTTCAGTACCTTATAATCAAAATTCCCTGGTCTAATTTTCTTGCTCTCTCTCTCAAAGCATGTTGACCATGAAACTTGTTCAAAGAACCCTGAAAAATAAAAAGCAATGATGTAAGTATCCAGAATACTGATGTGTAATTATATATATATATAAATATAGAGGGAGAGACAGAGAGAAAGGGACCAAATGCTGTGAAAGCATATACCTGTTTTGGCGTCCATTCTGGGGGGTAGTAAAAGTTGTCTGCTCTGGCAGCCGCAAGTGAAGACTGCAGAAAATCAAACAAAAAAGTTTAATAACTCAAAGATATTATATATATATATATATATGAGGTTAAGAAAATAATTAAAAAACAATAATTAAAAAATAAAAAACACTCAGGACAAAAGTAGATGATGGGAACACTAGAGCATCACGAGCAACCTAGAAACTCAATTGTTCAAACCATATTTCCTTATCCAATGTAACCCTCTACTGAAACAAATATAGCAATCCTATGAAATCAGATGTCCAGGCATGTCTCACAAGACAAAAAATTAGTATGTAGAAAGGCACTGTAACCACAACTGAGTTGTCTTGGGGGAGAGAAGAAGTTGAGGAAAGGAGGTTTAAAGGGGCATACCATAATGTAAACCCATGACAGAAGTTCCCATAAAAAAGAAATGAGTGAATGAAATTAAAAATGACAACCTGATTCCTTCTCAAGATTCACAGGATATCTTATATCAAGAAGAATATTAAACTAAAACGGTTCCAATTGGTGCCACTATTTGTGTCATGGGCTTTAAAAGCTAAAATATAGTACTTTAAATTCAAATACGAAAAGATAAGTTAAGTTTGGATACAGATATATATAATAACTTAACATATTCAAATGATGTATTCTATGTGTTGTAGATACCGACTCACTTCTTGCCATGGAAACAGGGCAGCAAAAATAGTTTTAAATTTATATACGGATATATATAGTAAATATATTTGAATGAGAAGTCTATATGATGTAAAAACTGAATCACTTGTTGCTATAGAAACAGGGCAGGTAACAGTAAAGGAGAGGTAGTAGCAAATCTTTTGGGGAACTCATTTGTAGAACTCGCTAATGAAAAGGGTTTCTTGAAATGAGAAAGAGCAGGGATTTGAAGACTTGAACCTATCGCCTCTTTCTAAAAAGATGTCAAACCAAGTGAGCTTCTTGTTCCAGATAGTGAACTTGGTTTCTATACTAAAAAAAAAAAAAAAAGTTTATCTCTATACAAAATTAGGTATAATGCAACAATCAATGGAGAGAATGTAGGTCACACGAGCTGGATAGGCAGCCAAAAAATGGTTTTTCTCAATATGACGGCAAAGTTCCTTTAGGACAGGCCATTCAGGACGTTTGTACTTTAAAAAGGTATATTAAGATGAACCCGGATTAAAGAGAAGTACATAATCAATTTGCAAGAAAACTTTAACACCTTTCACCAACATGTCATCTAAAATTGTTATGAGTTAACACTAAACTGATTCACCAAAGCACTATGCACCTGATTCGAAAATTGCAAACAAACTAGTCAACTAGATTATTCTCATAGCTCCAAGAAACTTCAAAAATGTCAAAATTCCAATCTTTTAAAAAGATGTGATTCAATAATCCTAATATGGTGGCAGAAGGGGAAGAAATGAATCGATATAATTGTGATAGTATGTAAAACAGAACATTGCATGATTCGACTTTGAAAAATTATTTCAGAAAGTTCAAAAACAAGATTCATATAACCGACTACAAACAGTTGGGGTGCGACTTCATTTTTTTTTCCTGGTATGACTTCATTGACTTGAGCTGTATTTGAGTAAAAAAAAAGAAAGGAACAAAAACGAAAAACGTATAGGATGAGGGACAGAAGTCCTTCAAAAGAAGCAATAAGGAAGAAAAACACCAAAAATAAATGAAGTAAGAAGTAGGAGGAAAATATGCAAAGATTGCAAAACAAAGAGAAATCTCAATGAGTGCAGAAACGGGCAATAAAAACCTCTTAAAGTATTAGACAGAAAAAATTGAACAGCTTCATAAGTTCATAATGAAAGTTCATCTCTGCTCTTTTATCGCATTATTAAATCAAGCAGGTTTCTAACTGGTTCGATCTGAATATCAAATTGAGTAGGTTGGCATTTTGGGACATTTTGTGTAGCCCTAGAGTGCTGTGTAGTCGAGTCCAAGCTAAGTTCAAATATGATTAAACTCAGCTTGTTATCATATCAGCCAATCTCGACCAAGAGTTCAACCGATCCAAAAATTAGTCATACTCTCATGTAGCTTAATCTGTCTTACTACTCTAATTAGTGGCACAAACTTATCAATCATCCTCCTTATCGGCTGAGGTACATATCCAAGTATTTTTTATACACAGCCAATAAATCACATATACTATTTTCAATCAATGCTAAAAATCTCATTAATTTGATGCCACTAGTTTCACAGCCAAAAATCAGTCAAACAAAGACTTGTGCTGATACAACCTAAAGGAAAAGGGAGCATTTGCATAAAGTGGTTGAAAATTTTGGAAAATCAAAAGATGAAGCAATAAACATTTAACTTCATAATATAGAATACATACACGGAGAAAATATACAAAAACCTTTTTTTTTTTTTTTTGATAAGTAAAAAATATACAAAAACCTATTTGATTAAAAAAAAACAAAGCAAGCGCAAAGAAGTGAAATCCATACGGAAGATCACACGAAATCGATCCAATTTCTCAAAATCGACATAGATACACACAGATATATACATATATAAATATAAAGATATATTATGCCCTTGATCAAATCATTGAAACCCTAACAATAGTTTGTGATCTTTAAAAGATAAGATAGATTAATTTGCGTACCATATCAGCCTTTTTCGATCGATTCGAGTTCTAAAGGAAGGGCCAAGAAACGCTCCTCCAGATCAGACGGAGACGGGGCGGAGAGGCAATGGAAGCAGATTTGACGGGGGTCGGAGAAAAAGTTCAATTTGATGATCAGTTGAAAATACGCGGTGTTTTTAGAATTTATTGGTTTTTTTTTTTAATTTTTATTTACCGACTTAGATAAATATATTTAGGTATAATCTATACGACCGCCTCTATGCAGCGACTGTCTTTGCCGAGCCTGAGTCACACTCCTAATATCAGGATTTTTAAAATCAACAATGCTTGCATCAGGTTACATAAATAGGAATGTCATTCTTCTGATGTTGAATGGATGAATAAAAATATGACAAGTGTCAACAAAATTTTAAAATAATTAATAAAAATTGTTTAGATTTTTTTTGCGAATCACCTAAAATGAAAGATTTTTTTTTCCCTTATGTGTTTGAGATTTTCTACTCCAAACCTTTCCTACTGCAATTCGTAAAAAACTTCAATTATCAATAAAGTTTAAGGAAATCAATTTGACCTCAGATTGCAACAGGTAGTAATAAATATCAAAATTGTGGATGTTACTAGAATTATGCATATTTATTAATTGGTGGCTTGAATCATCTCTAAAAATTAGATGTAAAAGATTATGGTTTGAGAATGGAGGATGTGGCACTTGTGGAGACCGAAAATCAGTGGTGGAAGTCAATTGGTGGAAGAGATGATTAATATTAGGGTTTCAAAATTTGGGAGATGGTGGGCATCAATGGAGAGGATTTGGTGGGAAGAGAGAAAGAATTGTGAGTTGAGGGTCACGCGTGAGAGAAAATTCTCTTTCTTTTTGGATGACACATGAAAAGATCTAAATGATTTAGGTTTAATTTTTATTTTATTTTTTATTTTTTATTTTTATTTTTCTTTTTCCTTTCAAAATTACACTCTAATTTTAAATGTCTCCTATCATTATGGGACATTTAAAATTAAATTTATAAGACAAAAATATTCTTTTAATTATTTATTCTCTCTCCTCACTTGGATAGCCTGTGCATATATATAAACAACACCTAAATTCTTTTATTTCCTTTTTATTTTTTTATCCCCGTCATACTCAGGGTAAAAAAATTTGTCAATTACATAATTTATATCAATTTGGCTCACCTCACACTCTCCATAAATGTAACCACAGGTGATGGCCTCGTTTTTTACATCATGGAATGGCAATTAAGGGCAAATATGGTTTCAAAGTTTTATAGGAACTCAAAATTTCAAAATCAAACTTCCTGATTGCACAACTTGATTTTGGGCAACTATTTTTACTTTGGATAGAAAAATATTAACCTAAATTTAATTAGGACTGAGGTGCCACTAACTTGATCACAACTTGAAATTGAAATCTAATTTAATTTCTTATGTATTTTTAAAATTTTAAAGGTATTATAAATATTTCAAACTATGATAACCCTTTTTCTTTTCAAACTTCTTTTATTTAAATTTGGATTTATTGTACAGTAACCTAATAATTATTTTGTAATTTTTTAGAAATTTATATAAGTTTTTAGAATTTTTTATGCTCGGGAGTTTCTAATTAGAAACAAACCCAATATCAACTAAAATTTTAGCATGAATCCTCTAACCTGAACTTCACCCGCAAAAAAATTCACACATGAAATTTAGTCCATTGTTCCATTAACCTAAATTCAGTAGCTACTTGATAAACATTCGTGCAGTCCATGACTTTTGGTGGCAGGAGTTTTCATTTGCATATTTATGTAGTTTGATATTCGTTTTTCGAATGTTTTATTTCCGCTTTTAAATATCCACTTTTGTGCGCTAAGCTTTCATATTTTTAGATAAATGGAACCTACAAAAAGTGAAGTGTTTTTTTAAAAAGAACGTTTGTTTTCCTAGAAAAATAAAAAATAGATAATTGTTTAAAATAAAAATATATATTATTTATATTTAAAACTATAATGATGATGTCAAAAATTAATTTTCTCACCATTTCATTTTCAAAATATAAATTTCTACATTTTTATTAATGAAATTCACGGTAGTTTTTCAATGACAAAAAGGATGACCTAATCAGTCAAATATGATTTTGGACAACAAATTTCACTTTATTATTATTATTATGATCTTAGAAAGTAACAGTGTCCTATCTTCATTACTCCAATAGAATCTTAGTTAATCCCTGACAATTTATTTTTATAAAAATATTTTCAAATTTATTCAAATACAAAATAGCACTAGTTAATCAACCATTCCCTTTCCAAACCGTAAGCTCCATCACTCCTAACACGGTTGTCACTTAATATTATAAATGAAACTTTCCCTCTTTACATACGCATCATTTTCTCTAATGAACAGATATAATGTATTTTAGTCATCAACTAAAATTCACTCTTTAGAACTTTTCATTTAACTATTTATTAATTTACCACCGCTACAAAATTCTCAACGCTTCTAGAATATCTTTTAAATAGAATATCTTTTAAATTACAAATTCTTACAGACTCCCAATATTTTAGAATCCTCCCGTGGCTCTCTTTTCTTCAAAATAACAAATAATAATTTTTAAAAATAAATACTAATAAAAATTCATGTGGCACGCATGTTTTGTAATACTTCGAGAGACTTATAGATTATTAAATGTATTTTTAGGTCTTACAAATATGCAAAAACATATATCTAAAAAAAATTGTTAATATAAAATTTTGATTCTACTTTGTGCAGGACTGAGTTTGCCAAAAATATATCCATACTATCAACTGCCAGTAGCCTAGCGGTATCTTCCTCTCACTTTCTAAAGGGAGGTCAGGGGTTCAAGTCTTAAAAGAGACATGTGTGCGTGGGTACCAATTAAAAGATATATATATATATATAGATATATATATATCATACTAAAAATTAAGAAATAGAAAAGGATTTCATTTATTTCATTTTTCAAATATATAAAATAAAAGAAGTCAATAGATCCAAACATAAACAACTGGAGCAATTTTAATAAATTTTCGAGGTCAATCATACATAAATACTAATTAATAATATTTTATATTCATTTAAGTTCCAATAAAATTAATAAACAAAATCAATTCTGTCAACGTAGAGGAATGGCCCACCTTGTTAAAGACTTGTGAAGTTGTGATTATCTTATGTATTCTATTCTCAAGAGTCGAGAGAGAGAGAGATGAAAAATGGTCAATTCTATGACCATTTATATCATACTAAAGAAATATAAACTCAAAAATTTAAAAGCTGAATGCATAACTGAATCCCTAAAAATCAAACAAATTTTACCATTAATCACAATATTCTACAGAGATGCACAGAAGCCACACACTTTGTTAAACCACTCAACAACATCCCCACCAAAGTTGTAGGGTTGTAGTGGTATTCCTCCTATTTCATTGTTGTTTATTGCATGATTTCATTACTCAAATATTATTCGAACAAAAAATTTATTAAAATGTATATAAAAACCAAAATTCTACATGCTTCTAATAGTGGTACAGATGAGTACTAATCGTTACCAACAATATATATGATAACAATACAGAAATACTCTTTCTGTCATGCCTCGTCTCACTTTGGCAGGCAACTCCTGGATAGACTGGAGAACAAAACTGCTTCTCAGAATATCAAAAAAAAGCCTCACTTTGGTTGATCAATAAATTATTTTCTCATGTGACAAGATACATATATGTTTGGCTGGATATGCTGCCCTATTAAGATGAGGATGCCCGAAAACAATCTAAAAGTATCATGGCGCATGAGGATCGTCGTATGTTATGTGTGTCGTAGCCCTCAAGCAAGAATTTCTTCAAGCAATTTATCCACCAATCTCTACTTTAAGGCACCAAGAAACTAAGCTTGATCATCCCATTTCCACCTTCGTCCCACCTCCTCGAGAACCTTGGCACGGGCTTGGCTTTTCCTGGCTTCGTCCTCAATCCAAGATCTGCATCCACAGCTTCCATTAGTGACAAGTATCCATAATGGCCATGATAATCTAAAATATAGTATATCTTCACACTGCCCTACCATACAACAATCCCTGGTGGTAAAATCGTAGCATATATTCACAATGTTTAGTCAGAGATTAAACTGATGTCCATCTCTGAACAGCAAAACTGATTCATATTGGAAGCGTAGAAGCGAAAATTCACACCAAGTACATAACATCATACAAAGGACAAATCTATTATACTTGGGCAAGCCATCAGAGGAGAATTGACATTTTAGAAACATACTTCTTTATTGTACAATTCAGAGCATGGTAATTCTTTCTAAAAAGCACAAAACTAGAAGATGTGGATACTCAAATTACATAGTATCCAAATCTGAAACTTGAATCTTCATAATTTAGATCCTTGGGATCAAGTTGAATTTGTTTCGTTGAATTTTTTATGTCACAAAATCCATTCAAAAAATTGGGTGCCAGCACTGAAGCAGGTAAGAGTTCAGTTTTTTAATTTGAGACTAATAGACTCAGCTTGGAAGCTTAACACCATCACATACCATGTTATGGCAGAAGAACATCAAGAGAACAGGTATGTCAAGTCGCAATGCTATAATGCTCTCAAAAGAACACCAAAGTAACTGACAGTTGTAATGCTTTTTGATGACGTACAGAAAACTAGAGTGTTGGACACATATTACCTTGTAACATTAAATATTGGTATGATCAATGGCTAAATACTACAATTGTATAAAAAGCCATGATATCTGCCACATTTGCTGCAAAACATGGCATTCAAAGTAAAACATTACCTATCTAATAAACATTTTCAAATATTTTCACAACCTAAATCAGTTCCAACCACAAACAAATGATTATCAATATCTAAAACCAATTTTGCTGAGTATACTTCAAGCCACATCTAAAACCAATTTTGCTGAGTGTTTCACTTAAGCAGCAAGCATTAGGAACCTTCATTAAACACTTGACATATTCAAATTCAAAACCAAAGCACCCCCATATTAACAATTACCAATACAAGTGATTGATTCTAGAAACACCATTAGAAGTTTACAATATCAACAACAATTATAATACGATAATAATGGTGATGATAAAGTTTATTATGCAAGTTATAGATTCTTTCTTTCTTTTTTTTTTTCTTTTTTTGTTTCCCTTTTTTTTTTTTGTTTTTATGCCAGATCTCCCCTAGAACACAATAATTAATTAATCTTAATTTTATGGAACGCATGAGAAATTATGAGAATGATTTCCAAAATAAGAAAAGAATGATATAGAAATTTTAAAAAAAATTAACCAGAGAGATGAAATCTTACTTAAGTATCCGAAGAGCTTCTATCTCAGCTTCCAATATTGATTTTGCATCAAGCAGCGCTTCCTGCTTCATCTGTAAATCACTAAGCATATCCTGCAAATTGTGCCGCTCATCCATGTATTTAGCCCTCTCACATTCAAGCCTCTCTGACATCTCGTTAACTTCTTCCTTGAGACTAAAAAGCAGATGCTTCTGACAGTCCAAAGCTGCCTTTTCCTTCAAATACTCAGCTAGAGTGTTCTCTTGAACAATCTTCTCCTGTTCAAACTCATGAACTGCTGCAAGATGAGCCCTCTCCACCTCGCAACCACGAGTTCTCTCATCTTCTAGCTTCCCGTTCCAATACCTCGGTATGTCTCCTCTATCTAGAAGCTCAGATCTAATTTCATCCATAGCATTTTTCTTCAAAAAATTTTCAGCTTCCAGTCTCAGTAATTCACTGTGAATTAATGCTGTCATCCTCCCACTCATCAGTGCGACAGCTGCTTGTGCCTTTGTTGAAGGTTTATTTGGTTGAAACCGCCTTCCCTGCCCTGTAAAATGAAATGCAGCACTAAGTATCTTTTTAATGAAATAAAATCAAAAGCACAAACTATATTTGTGCACACATTGATGAGCTAATCTCCCTACCGAGAGCAAAGGCTAGCAGCATCCCCAGTTTAATTGACCAAGCAGACCACAATATTTTGCACTTAAATGAGCATTTTAAATCTCCCTTAAATCCCATTGAATCTCCCCTTGGGAAATTTTAAATCTCCCTTAAATCTCATTGCAACTCCTCTTGGGAAATTTTAAATCTCCCTTAAATCTCATTGCATCTCCTCTTGGGAAATTTTAATTCTCCATAGCTGCCTTCTTTCCCACCCAATACATCCCATGTCAATAATCTTCACCATATCAAAACCATCATTGAAGATGCAACTCTTAGAGAACCATATGAATAGACCAATATTAATCTAAATAATGATGCAGATTAAGAAAGCAAGGGAAGCCACCTGGGTCCAATAAGGTTAATAAATATATGCAGCAAAAACAATTTGTTTTACTGACTCTTATAACGAGTGACCTGTTTTTGGGACCAACTTAAAACTAAGTCAACTTAAAAATAGATACAAAGCCAAACAATCAATTCTTGATCAAAATGCCAAACTAGAAACCAGTAATGCAGATAGGGAGTGTTTACATGTGTAAATGCATGCTCAAGTCTGTGTGTGTTATAGAGAGAGAGAGAGAGAGAGAGAGAGAGAGACCAAAGACTTTTCTGAGAATGCTCTTGTCACCAGCCAGTATATCCATGAAAAGCTCAGGTGAAGCGTCTGAACTGATCTTCCTCGTGTCTATAAAACCCATGTTGATCCTTGATATCTGGACTGTAAATAAGTCAGATTTTATAAAGCTTTAAGAATTGTAAAGTGTCATATATGATTTATTTTTTTCTAAAAAAGTTCAACTTCAAGAAAAAGGAAAAACTCGATAGGAATCGTGTTTCAATTTTTTCATACCTTTTCAATTATTCCCGGCACAGCTTCATATTCTACCTGGGCTTTCCAACTTATAAGATCCTGACGAGATATAAACCTATGGCACCATTTATATTTGTTGAGTAAAACGAAAAATATATATAAACATGGCAAAAGAATAAAATATCATTAAAAAAAATGCAGCAAATTTTGAGTACCTCTCGGGGAAAAAATTGACACCTTCTTGGCCTTCTATATCATCCAGATGAGAACTTAAGTTCTTACCCGATAGATTACTGAGAATGATGCCAGCCTCAGCCAGGGCTAAATTACAAAGAGGAGAAAACTGAGGCACTTGTTCCTTTGCTAGACACAACTTTACTATATTAAGTGAACATCAAGATCAAAACTTACATTGAATCGAACGAAAATCAGGATCTTCAACATTCACATCATCAAAAGCAGCACTTGTAGACCCACAAAGCGATACGGCTGGGACAAGCCGATGCTTTGGATTCCTAGAAACCAGATGAGAAATTACGCAAAATTAGCCAATACAAAATTTAATTACACACTAAAACTTCCAAATCACATGCATCAATCAAATACTACCTTTCCAGTAGCGAATACGCTCGAACTAACCATCTAGCATATTCCCTCCTCGTGCACAATTCATCTGCCTTGACATCATCTTCAATGATCTGTGCACCTTAAGCACAATTGTGAAACCATGCTCAGAACTGAACCTAAAGCTTCAATCAGAATAGCATACAAATCCATTGCCAAGCTACATAAATTTATATTAATCAATGAGTAGATATTGGTAAATTTATTTTAAACAATGAGAATGTTAGAATTTTATGGGTTTTTATTTTTTTATTTATTTTATTTTTTTGGAGTTTATAATAACTTTATTTAAGTTCAAACATTGCTGATCAAACCACAATGATGTCAAGTAAGTTAAATTTATATAAGCTAATAATATGTCTTCCCCAAAGCAAGTTCGCCACCAACTGTTGAGGCACAATTAAAATTTGCCCCTTCTTAATGCCTATACCCCATTGAGCACCGTAGTTGCTCTCTACACATGCTCTCTTTCTCTTAAGGAAGATTTCGTAATGCATTATACAGCCATCATTAGTTGGCGATATGTCAACAACCATGAATCACATTCTTAACACCTTAAGAAAAATAATATACCAAATGGAATGCAATAGTTCATTCCACGGGGAGATTTGAGAAATCACTGAACGCATCCTTTATTGCCCTTATTCCTAAGAAGGGTGGTGCTTCTAATGTCAAGGACTTTAGACCAATTAGTCTGATTGGGTGTATCTATAAGATCATTGCGAAAGTCCTTGCGCTTAGGCTGAGGGAGGTGCTTGATGGAGTTGTTTCCGAGTCTCAAAATGCCTTTATTGGGGGTAGACAGATTCTGGACTCGGCTCTCATTGCCAGTGAATGCGTGGATTCTAGACTTAGTAGTGGTGTTCCTGGTGTTCTTTGTAAGCTGGATATCGAAAAAGCCTACGATCATGTCAGTTGGAATTTCCTGTTGTGTCTGTTGGAGAGGATGGGCTTTGGTGCGAAATGGAGGAAATGGATTACTACATGTATTTCCACTGTCAGATTTTAGATTCTGGTTAACGGGTCTCCTACGGGATTCTTTGGTAGTTCTCGAGGTCTGAGGCAGGGGGACCCTCTTTCCCCATTTTTGTTTATTATTGTTATGGAGGCCCTTAGTAGGCTGATGAGAAGGGCTGTGGATTTCGGGTTTATTAGGGGTTTCAAGCTCGACCCTGAATCGGTTCAGCAGATGGAGATTTCTCACCTTCTTTTTGCGGATGATACTATTGTTTTCTGTGAGGCTGAGGTGTCCCAGTTGCAGTATTTGAGATGTGTTTTGGTTTGTTTTCAGGCTGTCTCTGGTCTGAAAGTCAATGTGGGTAAAAGTGTGCTTGTCCCTGTGGGGGAGGTGCAGGATGTGGATTCTCTGGCTGCTGCTTTAGGCTGTGGGACGCAACGCTTCCCTATTTCTTATTTGGGTCTACCGCTGGGGGACTCGGCAAGGAGGGTGGGAAGTTGGGACCCGGTGATTGAGCGGGTCGAGAGAAGATTGGCTGGTTGGAAAAAGCAATATCTCTCTAAGGGTGGAAAAGTCACGTTAGTGAAGAGTGTTTTGTCAAGCCTTCCAACATACTTTCTCTCGCTTTTTAGGATTCCAGCCTCTATTGTGGGAAGACTGGAGATGCTCCAACGGAATTTCCTTTGGGGGGGTCGTGGGGAGGAGTTTAAATATCATCTTGTCAAATGGGATCAGGTTTGCAAGCCTCTTCAGCTTGGTGGTCTCGGAATTAGAAGACTGGCCCCTTTTAATAATGCTCTTCTAGGCAAGTGGCTTTGGAGGTTCGGCAGTGAAAGACTAGATTATGGAGAAAGGTCATTTCTTGTCGTTTTGGGGAAGAGAGAGGGGGGTGGTCAGCTAGGCCTGTTAGGGCTACTTATGGTGTGGGGGTGTGGAGGTCCATTGGGAAGGGGTGGGATGAATTCTCCAAACACATTAGATTCAGAGTTCGGGATGGAAGATTTGTCGGGTTTTGGGAGGATTCCTGGTGCGAAGATAGGCCTTTGGCTCTGTTGTTTCCAAGATTGTTTAGGATTGCTGTTGACAAACATGCTATGGTTGCTGACTGCTATCGTCTTGATAGCGGGACATTGTCTTGGGATGTGCGATTCAGGCTACCTTTTCAGGATTGGGAGTTGGATGATGTCACTGGCTTGTTGGCCCTTTTGTATAGACAGGAACTGGATGGCACTGGTGTGGATTCCTTGTTTTGGGTGCCTTCTTCTAATGGGATGTTCCAGGTCCGGTCATTCTTTGGGCGCCTCTCTGGGTTTCATGGGTTGCCCTTCCCGTGGAAGACGGTGTGGCTCTCTAAGGCGCCCCTTAGAGTGGCCTTTTTGTGTGGACTGCAGTTTGGAGTAATATTCTGACTTTGGACAATTTACGGAAGAGAAGACATATCATTGTTAACCGGTGTTGTCTTTGCAAGTGTGTTGGGAAGTCCGTGGATCACCTTCTGCTGCATTGTCCTGTTGCTTATGAATGTTGGAGTCTTTTGCTTGGTTTGTTTGGCATCCATTGGGTCATGCCTCAGACTTCTCGAGGATTGCTAGATATCTGGAGGGGCCAATGGGTGGGAGCTCAGGCTAGAGACTTCTGGAGAGTGACCCCTCTTTGCGTTTGGTGGAGTCTTTGGAAAGAGCGGAACAGAAGATCTTTTGATGGGAAGGAGTCCTCTATTGGAGAGCTGAAATTTTCTATTATTTGTACCCTTTTTTGTTGGGGTTGGGGGAGGGATTATTCTTCTTTAGAGGACATTGTGGACTTTTTGGGTTCTTTGAGTTCATAGATTCTTTTTGTGTATATCTCGGGACGCGTTCCCCTTTTGAACGCTTTCTAATACATTTTACTTACCAAAAAAAAAAATTGCAGACATCCAAAGTCAGTACTTAATAAGATTGTTATTAATCAAGAATGCAAATTTGCCTTGAGACAAAGTCAATACTTAATAAGATGGTCATAAATCAAGAAATACAAATTTGAAATAGGCAAAAAAAGAGATGCAAATTTGCCTTGAGACTAAAGCTGGCTAACCATTTAGATTAGTTTTCCATTTGTAGACTTCATTTTATTCATGGAAACAACCAAAAGAAGAAGAAGAAGAAGAAGAAGAATGCTGAAAAGTCATCGTTAGACTTCAATCAGACACACTGAAAAGTCATAGTTAGACTTCAATCAATCAGACACATTAAAATCGGTCTGGCACTTGGAACAAAAGGGAAAAGAAAAATCAAATAGGAAAATTAAAGGCTTTCCTGATCTGGTTACAATGCGAAAAATGAGAACAAAAGGATGACCAAGAAGTTGGGTTTGAAAAACGCAAAATAGAGTGCTGAAGGATATATATCTTTAAGTTACACCCTTTGTAACAGCTTAAGCTTTTAGAGTAGATGGTACTTAACATGGTATTAGAGCAAGCAAGTTCCTGTGTTCAAACCTCTCCGTCACCCTAATAATAGAAATTGAAACACGTGTTGAAGGATTTATGTAGTTAAGTTATACCCTCTCTAACAGCTTAAGCTTTTAGAGTAGATGGTAGTTAACAAAGAGAAATTGAGAGAATTCGAAAGAGAACTAGCATCTGCTGGACAAGTTTGATTGGTGTCAGAGGTAGTTAATTAAATCTCAAATATCAGAGTTTGGAAGTCAAAATTAGCACTGTTAGAAGGTTTAAATATTAAAATTACACCTTCTCTAAAAAGCTTAAGCTTTTAGAGTAGATACTTGTTAACAAGGTATCAAAGCAGGCCAATTCCTGAGTTCAAAACTCACACTCAACCTAATAATTAAAATTGAAACATGTGTTGGACCAAAAAAGACCACGCGTGAGGGGGCGTGTTAAAGGATTCATATATTAAAGTTGCACCTTCTCTAATCGATGGTGGTTAACAAGCATCAACTGAAGAAAGCAAGAGGGACCGATGTTAGAGGGAACCTCACAAATTTCCGTCAGTAAAATTCTCTCTTCACTCACCTTTCTAACAGAAAAAGACTTCTCAAATGCATCTACTTTCTCCTTCCAGCTTTCCACTATATTTCTTTGCTCCTGTTTTCCCCCATGACCAAACAAGACAATAATTTCTCTGCTCACTTATTTCCCTGTCCCTCCTAAAATTGAAGAACCAAACAGTGTCAAGAGCCATATGCAGTTCATACTGACCATTTAGAAGTTCACCGCCTCCCTCTCTACACCCCTTCAATAGCTTCTAAATTCCAAAAAATTATATATGTCACTTAAGACGAGAAAATGGTTTCCCCGCTCAATTATTTCTTTGCTCTTGTTTTCCCACATAACCAAACAAGTGAAAATAATTTCACTCCTCAGTTATTTTCCCATAGGTGAGAAAATTAGAGAGTAGACTTGCATTGTTTGGACACATACATTGGAGATAAAGTGATGCCCCAATCAAACAAGGAAGACTAGTTGTCGTAAAAGGTAAGAGGCGGAGAGGGTGACCAAAAATAACATGGGATGAGATTATTAAAAATGACTTCAAAAAGTTAAATATAGTAGGCCATATGGCATTTCATAGAAAAGAGCGGAGACAAAGAGTTCATGAGGCCCACCCATTAATATGGGATCAAGACAATGACGATGATGATGAGTTACTTCCACGCCCCTCCTAATCTTGAAGAACCGAACAATGTCAAAAAACGATATGCAGTTCTAAATTCAAAAGAAATCTAAAAATAACATATCCCTCTTAAAACTCATGTGGGATTTACAAAATACAAGCAATGTAAGCATAGAATCAAATCACAGCCATAATACAGTTCTACAGAGAATGGACCCACTGTCAGTAAGAACAGCTTATATCCTTTGCACAAAATATGCTTCTAGAAACATACCTTCAGTTTCTTCAACATCAATAGAGCTTCCTGTTGAGTAGAATCTGGAGCAACTGGAATTAAAATATGTCTGAGCTTTCCTTCTTGCATCTTAATATGATTTGTTTCTGATCACAGGGAAAAAAGTTTTTTTTAAAAAAAAAAAGCAAAAAAAAAGGAATAAATTACAAAAAGAAAGAAAGAGAAGTAATAGGCCAATCTAGTTCCAGATTCTGCTAGTATAACAAAATTGCATCATAAAATAAAAACTTTTCACAAATGAGAAATACCAACAACTTAGCTGACAAATAATGAGCAACGAGCTGAAATGATGCAGAAAATAGAGTAATTCATTTATGACAATGACATTATTTGTTATTACTGAATATCAAAACAAGAAAAGTTCAGCTCAAAAGCTAAAGGAAGGTCAAAGTAGATCGCATAATTGAAATGACATGGGGTAGTTTTAAATGTGAGAGGATGTTCTTCACTACTACAAGATTAACGTAGAGATTCTAAAATTAAACCTCCAAAGTCATTCCACTACTTTGGAATATGAAGGAATTATATAAAAGCATAGATGTGGTTGTAAGCAATATGCATTGAGCTCTTAGGACTCTAAACATTTTCCAGGAGCTAAATTTTTATTCTTTGTGAGACAAAATCACCCACTTTTTCCCTGTTAGGACTCTAAACCCCGACCTCCTCTTTATGATGTGGATGAAATTCCACCTACGCCAACATTTGTGGTTTTTCAAAAGCTGAAACTCTTAGCAGGTACTACAGAACATATATACTTATTTTTTGGGGTGGTTTGAGGACAGATTAAAATTACATGCCATCTGCACAACCCACCCACGTATATGGTTTTGGAAAACAACTTAAGTTCAAAGAATAAAAATATTGAATTTTATAATCCTATGGGATGGTCGTGGTCCCCTTATTATGTTTGTAGGCCCACCGCTAGTTATGGCTCTGTCCCATTATTCACCTAATTCTAAAATCCTCCATTACTTAATTTTTTAGCCGTTAAGTTTCAGGGTCCATGATTGCCTTCCAAGATCACAATTCAAATAATAAATAAAAATATATAAATTCACTTAAGTGTCTAATGTCTTGGAACATTCATTTCGAATTTGAAATTTCTAGGGTGTGAACAATTTTAGTAAATCTGCTACACTTAAAATAAATTTGAACTTATTAATAGGGGTGCAACTTAGTTGGGCGGGGCAAATTGAGGGGTTAGCCTAAGCCCAACCCAAGATATGGAACGTTCAACCCAAGAAATCCAATCCTATCTCAATGGCACTCAAAACTGAACTTGGATTGATTCCAGATTGAAAAAAACAGGTTTCCAGGGCTGAGTTCAAATTAATCTCCAGTTAAAGTCAGATTTGGTTTAGGTAAATTGTCCAAACTCCAAAAAAGTTTTTTTTAAAAAGAAAATCTTCATCATGAAAAAATATTATAATAATAATAATAATAATAGAATTTAAAACAAATAAAAACAAAAACAAAAAATTTATTTCAACATTTTATTTGATTGAAAAAATTGAAGTAGTTTTACTTTGCAGTATTCTATATATATTTATATATTTAAAGACGGGTTCAAATCTGGTTTAGCTCTGGTTGTCCCATTCAGGATGTACACATTACCAGATAACACAACGCAAATCACATTCTGCATTAGGATTTTTCATCCCAAACCCAATACAAAAGTAAAATTGCTACCTAAACCAGTGAAAATAAGAGTTGGCCCACCAAGTTGCACCCTTAACTAAACAAGTCAAATATAGCTTAAAAAATGCATGTAAGGAATCCTGAGAGAGTTTCCAATTCTACCAAATAATTAATTTTTGTCAATCATGCAACGAGAACTTATAGATGCATCAATAAGAAGAGGTAGATTAGTTTAAAAAATTACAAAAAATATAAGAACGGAGAGGGTGACCAAAATTATCGTGGAATGAAGTTATTAGAAATGATTTTAAGATTTTAAATTTTAAAGGTGAGATTACTTGTAACAGAAAGGAATAGAGAAAGAGAATTCAAGTGGCCAACCCCGTTTATATGGACTTGAGGCAAGGATGATGATGATGAATTAATTTTTCTAAATAGTCATTCCTACGAAAATGAGAAATTTCAGCAGCACAGTTCCTACCCAAAGAGTCTAACCGACCACATATTAAGATAGCATTCAAGGAAATCCAATACCATGGTATGTATCAACACCGTAAAGTTTTCCACTGAGATGTCACTGTGTGGCTGCAGAAATTAGTCCACCCTTCCAAAACCTGGGTCAGACCGGTCCTTGAATAGACTAAAGAATGAGTCAAGACTGACAAGGTTGAGCAGTGACTCCAAGATTCGGCCTGGAAGGTAAAACACTGGCCAAACCTACCCTCCGACAAATAAAGGAATGAGTTTAGACCACCTTTCATGTGCCCCAAAGTTAGATGCGTGCATGCCAGCAGGAGTGAACAGAAATAGAAAAAGGTCAGGCAATATCAGAACCACGACAGGCTCATGGGTTTGGCTCAAGAGATTCCGAAGGTGCTGGACTTGGACCAGTGACTCGGGCTCATTGTGGAGGTCCACCGTGGGAGTGCCGGATTTCAGGATTCATCTCAAGATTCTCAACTAACAGAGTCATGTAGGAAATAGTTCAAGTCACACAGAACCAACATAATCCCGGTTCGCATGAGACTCCCCTGACAGTCACTGTGAGGGATTTTAAACGACAAAATCCACCAGCATTAGTGGACCAACAGAACCCTTAGTAGCAGAGGATTGGCTCAAACAAATAGAGAAGATTTAGATTTTTACATATTGAAGAAGATTTGAAATAAAGTAAAATTCACCACATACCAGTTCTAGACACTCACTTTGCCGTATAAAATTATGAATTCCAGGAAAAAGGAAATTGAAGCAAACAAAATTGAAATGATAGTACATTCAAGAGTCTGTTCAAATTGAAGGTACCTGATGCCACAGTTTCATCAACTAGATCCATCACACTTTCCAGGCTTGCATCAGAGACCATTGTGTTCCTATTCGAGGCATCAGAATCTGTATATTTACTTTCAACGGCTTCATTAGCTCCAGATGGCATCAACATCCCGTGCAAAGAGTGGAACGGATTGGTAATTTGGAACCTAAAACCTACAACCACCAACGCACTGTGATTAAATCCCAATGCTGTACATTACAAATCAATTTCTCGAGTACCCAATTAAGGCCAAACTGCTTATACCCAAATACAGAAAAGGGTAAATAACGAAGTTACCAACCTCTTCTTGATAGTGAGAAATGAGCAATGGTAGCGAGTAAAACAGCAATTGAAGTCCCAATACCTACCAAAAGAAATAGAGGCAAACCTGCACAAGGAGAACTCGTTATCATCCATTATTTTCAAAGAGAATTCGTAGAAAATTATATGTGTGTGTGTGTGTATAAAAGTAGAACCTTTCTTCTTCTTATTCTGAATAGGAGCTTCAACAATTGCCCAACCACCGTAGTCATCAACTGTACTTCGCTCCGTAGAGAACCAGGAGACCTCGAGGTTCTTCTCGGCGACTGAAGCAGAGAGAGATGATTTAGGGTTCCTGGATCTAACACTGATCAGAATTGAGTGCGAAGAATTGGGGACAGAGACATTACCACGATGATATAGAAAGTGAGTGTTGTTGGGAAGGAAGAGAGAAGAGGGTGGTGATACAGAAGAGCACATTTCAGTGTCTGAGTAAGCAAAAACTAGGGTTAGGGTTTGGAATTGTAGAGCGTGATGAGTTCGGACATGGGTCGCTTTTGGAAGGTTTGGTGGTGTTCTTGCAGAGAAGTTAGTTTTGGGGTTTTGCTTCAATTTGAACGAGTGTTATTCACAGTAAACCTCTGACAATTACAGTCGTTTGGATAAGCAGAGTAGAAGCGAGAAGTGAAAATAAATGAAAGTAAAATTGGAAATGAGTTGGAGAAATAAAAAAAATTAATGAAAGAAAATATTTGGAGAAAAAACAAAACAAAAATAGAAATATATATATAATATTTTAATAGGTGGCTGACAAAATAAATAAATAAAACTTTTTATTACCCCTAATTATTAATTTTCTATGCATTTCCACCATGCATAGAGGGGTTGGTAGGTAACCAAAACAACCATTAAAAAAATTAGGATTTGTTTGGCAACTATTTTTGTTTTGTATTTTTATTGACATGAAATAGAAGCAACAGTTTTGGAGCGTGTATAATAGTAGTCGGAATCCTTTTTGGTAACGCAAAATTTGTTGCAAGAATTTTAAAAACAAAAGCATGAAACACATGTTTGGTAAAAAAATATTACAAATTTGAAAAATAAATTGACTAGTTAAAAGGTCATTTAAATTTTATTTTTTTTTTTTTTTGCAGAAGCAACCGGAGATACCAACCAATTTGGTACTTTTAATTTTGGCCTCTTTTTCGAAAATATTTTGGTACTATTCAATCGCAACAAATGTAAATAAACACGCTTCCGTATGATGCTTTGCTACAATACACTGAAGCAGAAACACAAAAAGCAAAAAAATTGTCAAATCAAACCTTAGCAACTCAGATCATATATGAAATAAGTTTTTTTACCCTTTAATTCTTCTTCTGTATATTCCTTGGATGGAATGATAGGGTGCAAGAAGAAAATACAATATTGCATGGATATTTTTTGTTTTTCCGAAAATTATATTGCATGGATAGTTCCTTGAGGGCAAGTAGTTGGATATCAATCTCGCACTACTCTTAAAGAGTAGATAATCGTCTACAACACCACTAAAAAACATGCTCCACTATAACACTAAAAAAAAATTACCACTAATTTTGATTAAACTGAACCAACAAATGACAATGATCCAGATATATCTAATAATTTATCCTTACGGTTGTAAACCAAAAGGCAGAGTAAAAAAAAATTGTACCATATTATACATCTAATATAAGATGGTTGATGGCAGAAAAGGTAGAGAAGGGTGTGCTCTTGATTTTAAGACAACTCCAATTTTTGTATCCACACCATAAAGAGTTTTAGAGTCAAGAATAAAATAGTTCCAAAACATCAACGGACATGATTAGAGGCCGAGACCCTTGGTCTTGAGTGAAACATTCAGTTTGTTCTAGAGCTGTGGTTCCAAAAAAAATTCCCTTTACTCTAGTAGCATCTAAGGGAATGACAAACAAAAAAGATAAGCTTCAGGTTGCAGGTTGCCTTGTCGCTTCGAAAGGACCCGACTTGCTCCCGTCCTATGTTCCTGCATCTTCCTCTCCAGAATTGACCATTGCAGTACCGCGCCACGACAACATTTTTCTAGCCCAAGACCAGAATCCAAGTGCAAGTTCACATACTAAGCAATTGGAATCCCCAATGAGTGTATTCAAGTTGAAAAAGTAGAGCAATTGTTCGGTTTCTGCAAACACAGCAATCAGACGTAAAAGTGGTACAAGCAGACTTTAGGCAGCAATCGAACAATAACCACGAGGCTATTCAGGGTGCCCACACAGATGCCACCAGCCAACCAGCAGCAATAACGAACATCAATTTTCAAGTTCTCCATCCCGGGATATTCAGCTACCTATCCGAATTCAAATATTATACTGTTAGAAACAGTATGATTTGATGTCACACATCCAATCACACAACCTTGTTCCTATAGCAGGGATCGAAACCAATTGCTTATTGACAAGTTACTTAACAAAATTACCGATAAAGGGGAAAGGGATTGAAACAAGACCATCACAAAGTTCATCCTAATTTTATTTCTCAACAAGAGAGAGAAGGCATAGACATCCAATTACAAGCATAGTCAGACCGTCCCCGTGGACAATTGGGTTTTAGTTTCTGCCCCCAACATTTGCAAATTACCACACAACATCTACGAAGCATGACTTGACACCCCTCGACCACGGCCCCTCCCAACATAACCATATCCCCTTCCATAGTAAGGGCCTCGAAAACGACCACCACGACCAGGCCCACGACCCCCTCGATACCTAGGGAAGTCTCCAAAGGTCTGCATTCATAAAGCAGGTAAACCATGTAAAGAGGGAAAAGGGGGCTGACTACCAAGAGGTTAGAGAACAGAATGATACATACCTCTGTGTCGATCTTCATTTGCTCAGAAAACCTAGTTCTACCATTATTAGATTCATGATCAAGTGCATTGCAAGAAAGGGAATCAAAAAAATCGTCCTTATTGTAAACAGGCTGTAGAACACAAAAGCAGAATTAAATACGTAGTTAAGACGCAACAAATACACAAGAATTCAGGTTACATGGAACTTCACATGAAAAATGAGATGGTAATCTCACCTTCATCTCAACCTTTGATGATTCAGCATCCTCTTCATCTTGAGAATCATCTACGTCACTTCCTTTTCCATCCCCTTCTTTGTCCTTTGAATGAGATCTGTTACTTTTGCCAAGATGACCCCATACTTCATCCTTCTTGAATTTTTCATTCATTGCGATAAAATCAAAATCTTCTGTAAATTTTGTCACTGGACGTGAACTCTGCAAGCCAAATGTTCAATATTTCATAAAGAATCCATTCTGTGAAATGTCCCCATTTAAAAACTAAATATAATTGCACAGACCAAAACATAATTCTTCACCCGGACAACATTTCACATCAGGAAGAATTTCAAACTACAATTCAGAACTCTCAAATGGCCCTCAAATTTAATAGAAACATAGAGCAGACACAAATTAGATGCGCTAACTAAAAATTAACACCTACCCGAACAAGTTCTAAAGGCATCAATTAAACTTAACCATCTCAGCATAGCAAAAGCTAGCAAATATGAGGAAAGTTACAAAAAATGAAACATACATATGCACCCGTGATCATATCCAGAGAAAGCGGAAAGCATTCCACAAATATGTTCTAGTACCGCAGCTCACAATAAAAAACTATGAAACAGTCTTGAGACAACTCATGGTAATGAAACAGTGAAGCAAGACTGAACAACCATGGTCTACCAGTATGATCTACACTTCATCACAATCCATTTATCACAATAAAATACTACCTATAATTAACATAGCAATAACAGTAATCATAAACTTGCACAAACTACATCTCTACGATTGTTTCTCTATCCCATCATGAAAGAGATTAAGCAGATTGCAGAAGCACAGGAAGACCAAGATCAGATTGTTACTAAATTTGATTAACACTTGAAGTACTGCCTAAACCTGATAAACAGATATGGAAATTTAACAGCTTGGCCCCATCGATGCATATAAGAAACAGTAAAAAGTCAGAATTATTGAATTCCATGGATTCCTAAATCACCTCCGGAAGGAATATAATGAACCCAGCCAAGACTGGGTATTTCCATCCAGGTTTTAACATATCCTAGATAAACATGGTCATTCCACAATTTAATTGTGATGGTTTGTTTATCAAAACTATTTAATGAACGATATCAACCAGAGAATTAATAATTTAAAATCCTTAAAGGTGTAATGTTGAGCATGCATGCCAACGAGGCAACAATACTTGTAGAGATAGAGGATACAATACATAATGCACAAAATGATCTGGCATGAAGGCTGAAACTCTTTGACAAGCAAAAATAATAGCTAGTCAAAAACAATATATTCTGATAGATTATGTGCATCCAACAAGAAAACATATCACAAAAAGGTCATATAATGATAAAAGTTAGTGAGTAAGGGTAACAATAACCTTGCGCGATTGGATTTCATTAAATAGGTCTATTTCAAAATGGCATTTACTCTAAAATTTGTTACGGGGGGAAAAAATTGAAGGCAAGTGAGTAAACGTTTCAAGTAGTCAACTTGGTTACAAGCCAGAACTCATTATCAATTTTATAACATATAAATTTAAGGATACATTACCCAGGTTCCTCTTCCCCTTTCACGCCCCCTGTAGCTGTGGCGAGTTTGAAAAGGAGGTCCATTCGGCTAAAGGGAAAAAATAAATAAAAGGAAAAAGAACAAGATTTGTGTTAGAATCATGATAAAAATCAATTTATCAGGATGTTAGTCAACTCCAAAGGAGAAAATGAAAAGTGATTATGCAGTAGAGTAAGTTGAGTCATAAAGTTGTTACCAAAGCCTGAAATTAGTGTAATGCGAGGAAAACTTAGAAAAGAAAGAAAATGAAAGGACTCAATAAAAAAGAAAATACCACATACAAAATCAAATAAACTTCAACAAAGCATCTTTCAAATTATTAAGGGATAGTTTTATGTTTTTTGGTAAGTATTAGAGGATGGTTTTATGAATAATGTTTCATTATTCTACCTAGCTAAGGCCATAATACTCTGACAAACCACATGCTCCACCATATCAGTTTCGATCTTCGCCTTGACCTAACACTATCCTCAACGTGGACCACATCACTCTACCTCACTAGTGCAGAGCTTAGCGTTAGTTGCACAAGACCAACCCCTCTGCATTGATTTTCTCTCAAGAGCCACAGCCCAAAAAGCTCCCACAATGTATAAAAAGCTAGAAACACTGCTCAAGAAGACAGGAAGGGGGAGAGAAAACAATGATAAGCACACAAGGAAACCATAATAAAAGACGAAAAACTTATAGAACATGATGGAACATTCTTCAGCCAGAAAAGAAGAACTCTACAACACAGAACAACAATAACAACAAATAATATAAGATATAAGATGGGAACACCTTTTGACTGGCACGTGAAGGTTGTGGTAATGGCAATATCGGTGGCTGAGCTTCTGTTCTAACCGGTGCTGATGGTTCTGATGATGATGATGACACTTGAACCACCTCCACATCTTTATGAGCCATTTGTGAAGCCTGAGAGGGAGAAATTGCAGCTGGTCCAGACTGCAACAACTGACCGGGGGTTATAAGTGAAGGTGTCGGTGATTCTGTGTGACTTGAACTGGATGTCCCAACAACAGAGGACATTGGTTGAGGCATAGTTTGAAACAGCAAGGATGGATTAGAAATTGCATTGGACTTGTTAGAGATTGGTGGAACAATAGCACTTATACCTGGACTTGAAGTGGTCAAATGAGACAATGATGGCAAGCTAGCACTTGGTGTTACTGTAGGAAGAGCAGAAATAGGAGTCTCGTTTGGCATAACATTCGGTAATGTCTCAAGAGCTAGCTTAACAGATGAGGCAGGAGGAAGAGTTGATGGTAAGGTTAAAGGTGGTAAAGAAGTAGATACAAAGTTAATAGAACTGGTAGAGGCAGGATTTAAAGGAGAAGGATATTCTGGCAAGTTTGAACCTGGCAACATTGAGGTTCCAGTTGGCAAAGATGCGTTAAATCCAGGATACTGCATTGGTTGCTGCATGGGAGGAGGGATTGACAGCCCAGGTGGTGGCCGAAGCAGAGGCTGCTGGTGCAAGTGAGGAAGACCATTTGGAGGGCCATAGTATCCTTGCCAATACATTGGCATAGCAAGACCACTACCATTTGCACTTGGAGGAGGAGGAGAAGGTCCCCATGAACCCAGGTTCCCTCCAGGTTGATATAAAGGCAGACCACCTTGGAAAGTTGAAACTGGGTGTCCTAACTGTGAAGTCTGGGAATTAAGATCTGTCAGAGACCCACTAACTGCATAAGGCAAGCTTGAGGATGTGGAAGCTGGATGAGGATAGTGAGACTGCATAAACAATTGGAAATAATTCAGAATCAGTTTTACTATATTTGATGCATCACACAAATATGAAGAGTCTTCCTTCCAATCACCTGAATAATAGCTGGGTCACTGTTTATCGCTGATGTAGTCTGAACAGGTGGAGAAGATTTAACCTGTAAATCCTGAAAAAAGAATCACAAAAAAATGTTTCCCGGTTTAGCTAATGTAACTGATATAACTAAAATAAATAGAAGTTCTTATCAAACACCAAGTTTGCAAGATCTATAAGCCATCATTTTCATGCAACCAGCAGTTGATATATAGATGTGTTAAAATTACAAAATGGCAATCAACTATGACGCTTTTTTCCTTTCTCGATTATTGCAATCCTGTATATAACTAGCTCACCGCTTCACCTCCAACTAAATAATACTTGACAACAACTCATCCATATACGACTTCGAATTCTAAAAAAGACAACAAGGCTAGGTCTTAGTACAAAAGGCACTACAGTTTTAGATGTTATATTAGATGACAAAATTTGATTTTGTAATGGTTCAAATGCTAATTGATGAGTTTGGTGGTTCTTTTAATGTTTAATGTTGTTTGCTTAAACCAAATGTATGATCATATCATTTTGAAAATCAATTTGATATTGTCATGTACTAATACAAACAACCTGTAGATGCCTGGAATCAAACAATAATAAATAAATAAAAAGCTAGGGGTGCACAAGAACTATTCGGTTTGGTTCAGTTCATATGTCAAACGCCAAAATAACCGGTTCGAACCATAATGAAACATTATTGTTATATACATGTACCTTTGTTTTATTTGATTGGTAGCTAACTTTTGTTACCATGTACTGTGAAACATTGGATAAATCATATTTACTCTAGACCTAGCTCTCCCTCTCTCATTCTGCTTTCACACCCTCAGCCAACACAAGCCTCTATCCTCCATCTCCATCTCTCTGGCATGACATGACACTGTCATCTCTTTTCTCCATCACCGACGATTAACTCTGGCAAACTCCTCACAACCTTCACCGCCTTTGCCCTTCATCACATCGGAGAGATGTACAAGTCTGTTTTTCGTCCATGATGACTACCTCTAGCTTGCACAAGTCTGCAATAATATTGAACATAATTTGTAGCATTGTGAGCAATTGATTCAATCCTAACAAAAGCTACTCTCTTCAGATATGGCATCTGATAGCCCCAACATTGTTCAGACAATCGAAGAATGTAGTGTCGTCGATCTCAAGGCTTCGCTAGAGGAACTAGGGGTTCTCAAGGGCTATAAGTTGCTATCAAGTCATTATGACTCAAAAGAGCCTCTTTCTGGTTGTGATTTACTTGGTTATTGTTGCCTTCAGATCTGGAACTTCATCAAACACACCGCTTGTTGTGCATATAATTTTCTTTTTACACGATCCTTCTTTTCTTATGAAGCTTGAATTCTCTACTAATTACATTATATTCTTCTATCACCTTTTTTTCCTTAAGTAGTTAATTGTATTGTTCTATCAGTAAATTATTAAATTTTGCACGAAACTTAATGCTATGTTTGGTTGGAGGGAAGGATTGATGAGACGAAGGGAAGGATTGATGAGACGAAGGGATGGATGAAGCTTTTCGTGTTGGTTGGAGGGAAGGGAAGAGAGGGAGGAAGCAAGGAGGGATGAAGCATCCCTCCTTTCTACTTGTTTTTCAATCTGCCCAATTTTGGGGGAAGGTAGGAGAGAGAAAGCGAGTAACTGCCTACAAATACACAATTTCCAATTTTAACCTTTTTAAAAAAAATCAAATGAATATCTAACTTTTATTATTTTATACAATGAGGGTATGTTGGTAAAAATATATAAAAACTCTTTTTCCATTCCTTCCAACCAAACAAAAAAGTATCACCACATCCATCCTTTCTACTATCCATTCCATTCAACCAAATAAAAAATGAGGGAGACACCTTCCTTCCCTTAAGATTGAGGATCCATCCCTCCCCCTATCTCTTCCATTCATTTTTCCATCCCTCCAACCAAAAGGAGTATAAGAGATTTAATAATTAATACTTCCTATGTTCTTGAGCTAATATTGTTGGATTATGTATATCTTTTCTCTTGGTTTGGGTTGGGCTTAGTCATTGGGCCTTTTCCCAAAGAGTAGAACCAATCCAAGCCAGTCTTTTACGGTTGGGATAGTTTGGATCCAATTGTCTAACAATTCAGTATGGTTCCAATTTGCATGGAACTGGTTTGGTTCTAGTTTAGCCTCTAAATGAACCATGTGCACCCCTAAAAGAACTCTCACCAGATGAGGAGCTTTTGCTTGAAACAGATGCATGGGATCAGCATTGACCTCTCTCCAAATTTTAATCATGGAAACAAACTGTATTCAACTGACTGAACTGAAATCCTTTGCTTATGACTGAAAATAGATGAGAAACTATGTTAAGTATATATTTGCTTAGACAAAAATTCCCTTGTTCAGATGCAACATACAATCAATAAGGGTCAAAAAGGGATTAGCTATTCGTTATAAAGTATGCAGACCCCTATAATGATAAAAAATAAAAATAAAAAAAAAAAAAAAATTAAAAATTAAAAATAATAAAATGAAAAGAAAAGAAAAAAATCAATTTTGAAGAATTAACCAAAATCCATTCAAATAGATGCATACTGATTTAATGATTAGAATATCCAAGGAAAACATCTAATTAAAGCAGTAAAGAAACTTGGGCAAATATCACTTATGGTAACAGAATGTATTGCCATAAGAAATGGACTCTAGAATATGGGGGGGAAGAGCAAAAGAATAGTATAAGATCATTAATGATCCTTATGATAGATGGACAAGTAAAGCAACCTTCTGTAGTCTATTTGGACTGTTAGTAACATCAAGAAAAAAGCCAGAAAGTGCCACTTTATCAGCTAACTTGGGTTTCATTTGATTTTCCAGTGACATGAGCAGTTTTAAGAATTAGTAAAAAGTGATATAATTTTATGCCAAATATAATATGGGAAGCTAACGAAAACCAATGTACAACAAGGAGAAGATTTTCTCACTTCAGTGAAGGGAAATAGATTGACGAAAATCAACTACAATACAAACTAATGAGAAACAAAGTTCTAAATAAATTACCTTGATGTCACTTCCACGGAACAGTATGTATTCAAAAACCTTGTCACTAGGAGGAACTTGTGGACCATCTTTCTTACGACCTTCTGTCCCGAATGATCTTACTGCCAGGGGATAGATCAGCACCAAGAATTAATACCGCATCTACAGCTTTATAACAGAACTTGAATGTAACTTGTATAACAAGGGAATAGTATAAGAGACTTAAGTAATTTATAAGGGGAATCACTTAATCATTACACAAACTAAGCTAAATTCATTTAACTGATTATAATATGCATCATTTTCTCCAGATTACCAATTAAGTTAAATACACCGAATTAGTTTAGCCACAATTCTATAATCTGTTGCACCATAACGAGCAAAAAAAGGGCCATTGCTTGGTTCAGTGGTAAATGCTTGGGCTGACAAGTATGAGAACAGATCGCATCTGAGAGCAGTCACTTTGTGCAAAACAATACTAACATTAGATGTGTCTCCTGTATACCCTACCAAACACCTTACATAGTCAAACCAGCTCATTTTTACAGCCTTTTATTATGAAATAGCGAAATTTGGTTCTCTTGATCTGGATTTTAATAATCCACCGTTGATTCCAATTGTCTGGGATATCTATAACTCCTGAAATTTGTAAACAAATAAACCCACACTTCAGATTGTGATAATATGGTTATCTAACCTTTCAAGCATGAGTTGAATACATTTCTAAGGCCAGCAACAAACAGCAGAAAACAGGCATGGCAAGACCAAAACACAGTACATGTTTCAATCTACACCAACTCTAATTAGATAATCATCTGGATGCAATGTAACTACCAAATAGTCAAAACAGTACACAAACATTCTATCATGTGCAATCAAGTTCTTATCCAATTCAAGCATAGGCCCAGCATCAAGTCACAAGGACATCCAAACAGTCAAAATCACACGCACAAAGACAGATAAATATATATACACAAAGGCACGTGCAGATTAAGCAATTCTGAGGTATAAACAAACCCCTAAAAAAAATATCACAACCTAATATAATTCCACAAAGGTGACCAGATAATCCACTATAATTTTTGCTTAAATTTGCAAAGGTGGGTAATTCCCACTAGTATGCCCACTCAGCATGTCATGCATCCAAACCTAACCCTATCTCAGTTTCCTAGTCCACAAGCCACTCAAGCATCTGCTACCTCATCACGTGGGTGTTCTTCAAACTCTACCAACCATCTCCTCATCTCTCCGCAATATATGAGGAGAAGACCAGGAAGCCCTCACAGATACTACATCCTGACACGAAGCTCCTTGTTGGACAAAGATACCATCTCTTAGAGCCCAGGTACATCAACAAGAACTTTAACAATAAATATGACTAAAACAAGAAACCCTAATTTGAGACATAATTCCACAACAATATCAAGACTACACAGTGGCTTAATGCCACCCTGTGCTACAAGCCTACAATACAAAACAAATTCCAAACAGCAACAAACAAACAATCAAATTTTCTAAAACTCTTTAATATCCAAGGAAGCCTCAAAGTTCATGGCAACAATAACGTTGAAAATTTCACTCTTTCAATGTAAAGCACTAAAAATCTAATCAAATATACCAAATTAATCACAAAAAAAAAAAATGTCATTGACAAAATTATATATATATATATATATATATATATATATATATATATGTCGGACATGTACATTAAAACTTCGCACAAAACAACAACAAATTAATTACCATCTCGCAATCCGATACTGGACTCTTCAGTGTTGATGCTGTACAAGACGCCCTCGTATCTGATTTCACTCTTCGATGTCAAGCTAATCAAGCTTCCGATGTACGAATCGGCCGATGAACTAGATCTAGAACTCTCTGCCGCCATGGTCGAAACAGTAGCGAATGTAGAGTGAGAACTGAACCCTACTCCTTCCTATTTCTAGAGAGTGAAAATCAGAGATAGAGAGAGGAATGACTTAACAGACACTTTCTTGTAGAGAGAGAAATGGGGGGAGAGGGGAATAGGAATGTTGCTTTGAAGTTGTGAAATGTCGTAGGGTTTCTGTTTCGGGTTTGTTACGTAGTACTTCGTTAGTGATCGAGTCCTGTTTGCGGGGGAGCAACGTGGGAGGGCCAATCCGACCCAAACCCGATTTTAACTGGTTTGGGTAATAAGTTGGATTTGGATCAAAACAATCTCAATCCGAATTTGATTAAGATTGAGGTGTTTCAAGTTCGGAATTGTGGTGTAATGAATTCGTGTTAATGGCAAAATACCATGTTCCATTTATAACAGTTGTGGGGGTGGTAAAATAGTTATGGAGCGGAGATGGAGAAAGATCACCCCACCTATTCAAAGTGATAAATTATAATTTTATTTTGATACTTTATTTTATATTCAATAATATTAGGTAGATATTAAGCCAATCATAATTTATTATACTTCAATCATTAAATATTCTTTTGTATTTTCTTATTTGATAACTTTTATGTATTAATTTAATTTTCCTACAATAACATTAAGTCTCTAATTTTAATTGAGAAGTTGAATCAATGAATCTTGTTTTATTTGCAAAAGAGAAAAGTAATTATTACCGTAGTTAAAATTTTATTTCATTGTTTACTTTCTAAATTCGGAATACAATTATGGAAGTACTCTGCAAAACCAGTCTCCTCCTTATTCCGCAATAATCAATTTTGAACAAGGATAGAGGTAGTTATGCTATACAAAAATGGGAATGGGAATAGTATTTCCTCTCCCGTTGTCATCTCTATGAATTAGACATGTATCGACCCTGCATAACATAATCGATTATCATGGTTGTAAATTTTTTTCGATTCCTTTATCTACAAAAATTGAACTCTTATGATAAGTCGATCCAACTTGATGGGATTAGATTACATATATCAACCATGCCAAACCAATCACAAGGTTTCTTTCATATTCCATGCTACCATGGATGGAATGTATCACATGATCTTGTTTATGATACTGGTTGTTTTATGTTTATCTTGACAAATATGTGTATATGAATTTATATTTTTGAAAGATTATAGTTTTATGTGTAATGTGAAAATTTCCTTTATACTATCAGGTTAATTTTTAAATTTACCAAAATTACCATTTTAAAAAATAAAAATAAAAATCATGGGGCTACTTGGAATGTAGTTACAAAAAACAGTTCTTCAATTTTTTAGTCTACTTGGCACCTGTTTTATGAAAACTGTTTTCATAAAATTGAGTTCAATGAGTATCAGTTTCATGAAAACTGTTTTGGGAGTTTCCAAAACAAAGTGAAAACACGGAGAAGCAATGCGGAGAACATTGTGCACTTAAAAAAAAAACGGAAGCCGCCTATCTCGGACATAACACACCTTTTACGCCTCTTCCAAAATGGGCTCTGCAACACCTCTCTCCTCTCTACGGCTTCTCGGCTTCTCTCTCCTCTCTACCGCTTCTCTCTACAAGATCACTGCACTTCTCTCCTCTAGATCCAACTCTTGCTCAGATTTTGTTGAGGTAAACACAAATCACGCTCTTTTTTCTGTAGCAAGTTTTTGTGGTTATGGATTTTGTTTTCTTTATGAATTTGGTTATAGATTTGGTTGGTTGGATAAGTTTTGTTGCAGATTTGATTATGTATTTTGTTGGTTGTGTGAGTTTTGTTGTGGATTTGATTTTCAGTTTAGGGATTTGGTTTTTGGTTTAGGGATTTGGGCTTTTCAGTTTAAAGATTTGGTTTTCAATTTAGGAATTTCAAGTGAATAGGGTTTCATAATGCCTTGGGATATGTTGGCTGATGTATGAATTATTTATGCTCTTTGTTATCCTGTTATGTTTTCTACTGGCTTTTTACTTTGCAATTACTATTTTCAATTTGTTGTTTTGTTACTTTAGTTCACTCATGCTTTATGTTTGTTTCTACTATTGCTCTTGTTAGCCTTTTGTTTGGTTTGTTTTCTGTATGGCTGGCTCGTCCCTATTCTTGTAATTTTCTCATTTTAATAGAGCTTATTTACCACAAAAAATATTTCTAAATTTAATAATTACCTTGTGCATTCCTCTAACATCATTTGGTATAATTACCTTGTGCATTCCTCAAACATATTTCTAAACTCATGTTTTGGATGGACCCATATTTATATATATATAGTTCTCTTCCATTATGTAGTGGCCAAAACTCTAAAATATTCTCCTGACAGATTAAAGGTGACCTTATTGCCAGAATATTCAAGGGCCAAAAACTATGAAAATATTTTCCTGACAGATTTCTAGTTGCTACAAAAATAATGGTTGTCCCAAGATGCAAGTACTATCATATTTGTTTCCTAAAAAAATAATGGTTGTCTCAGGACTTGATAAAATGGAAGAAAATTGTGTCTCTCACGTTCTCTCTCTGTCTGATAGTCTCTGTAGTGTGTATTATCTTACTATTTTTTTTTCTTAGTTATGTATTAGTTTCTTTCTATGAATCTGCTAAAACGATTGAAATATATGATAATCAGGATTAGGGAAACAGAGAGAGCATTAGGTTATTGATTAAATTTAAAAACTATATATAAACCTCATAGTATCTTAAAACTTTAATAGCTACTTATCATTATAAAGAAAACAGAATTAGATTATAGAATACTTCAAAAGAATTCACAGTACCAAACACACATCTCATCACCAGTTTGTTTACCCTCTTCTTTATACTATACCCTTTTTTTTTTTTTGTTTTGCTCAGAGACAAGGAGAAAAAACAGATTTGTATAAATTCTGCATCCCTGTCTACAATTTAAAACTTGTGGAAGGTACCATATTAGAAATCAATTATTTCCAATAATGCGTTGTATGCTAGTTAAAATCCATATGCTATACTAAGTACTGGTGTTTAAATTACACAAGGAAACAGACCAAAAAATAAATTAGTGACAAAGCCTTCTTCTATAAAGCTTGAAAATAAAGAGACCACATTGTTGCCTTTGCTCGAAGAATTTCTTAAGACTTGGAAGATCAAGCCCACTCTCTTAAACCCGAAGCTTTAATAGAGAGCTAGTTGGTGCTCCATCTGTGAAGATCAAAGGCAACACTGATATACATTCAAATCATGATTGAGAGACTAGATGATATCATAAGTTGTTTAGAAATTCTTCAGTTTCAGCAAAAGATCTAAAAGAAGGAACACCATACACCATCAAGAGAATAACTTTTAGGCCAAAAGCCTTCTGCAATTGTCTCATTCTCAAATACTGAAGCAGGATCTCATTTCAACATTCTTCAACTTCACAATTTCCTCACAAGCATCAGGCACTTGATTTCAAAAGCATGTACAATAATCAAAGCTCTATTCATTATGTATGCATGTAAGCTAAATTATTGTCCTCTTAAACATTTTATGTTGTTAGTTTGGGTGATTGTGGTGTGAGAAAGATATTATAAACAGGGGGTTGTTCTTGGTGATTTATTGCAAACAAGGGAAGTGATTAGTAAAGAGTGTGTGTCCAAGCTTCTTTGCCGTTTTGAGTGGTCTATCGGGTAGTCCATGTTGATTTTTCATAGAGGGTATGCCCTTTTTAAGTATGTACTAAATACTTGATCTTTTGGTTCAATATAACATCTCCATTAATGAAAAAAAAAAATTTGTATTTGAATATCAGGATATTGGATTCAATTTCTTTTATAGAATATTTTTTATTTATTTATTTATTTTAATGGATGTAATTTACGAAAGAATGGGTCATTTGATACACATATCTTATTAAATGTCTCTATCCCCCAATACATGTATGATGCACACGTCTTAATACTAAATATTGGTATATTGAATGCACTAGATTTATCTGATGATGGTGCAGCACAAATGGGAGCCCTTAAAACTCATGTGAAGAATCAAATGTGGGCATCATTAAGAGGCAATGCTAGATGAAGTTACTTTTTTTAAGTTAAGAATACCAATTAAAATGAATTTACCACCAACAATTTTATATATATATATATATACACACATTAATTGTTAATATCATAAATTAAATAATTAAAAGAGTGTAAAATAATATTTTTATTTATTTTCTTAGTTCAAAAAACTATTTTCAAAAATTCATACAACCAAGTAGTTTTATGAGTTTTTGTTTTTCGGAAACTATTTTGTAAATTCTATTAACCAAGCAGGTTTGAAATCTGAAAAAAACTAAAAACTGTTATTGAGAACTGTTATCTGAAATGCAATCCAAGCAAGACCGATGTCTCTCATCCTAAAAATTCCTTCATGCTACTAGGTTAATTTATTTTATTAAATAAATAAATAAATAATTCAGACACTCATTTAGTTTCCCTTGCATCCATTTTTTAACATGGAAGGTTAGGTTGAGGGAGAGATGGGTGTTAATGGTTTAGAAAAAATAATCCATTTGATAGATTAAATACAAAAGAATGTGAGAGAAATTTGATTGTTATCATTTTCTTTATTTTATCTTTTATTTATCCAAATAGGAATATATGATACGTTTGGTGAATAGAATGCAGGTGGAAAAGAAATGAGAATGTGAACGGAATGGAATGGAATGATCATTATCATTCTATTATTTGGTTACAAATATATATTTTTTATAAATGAAATAGTAATAATTATTATTCTAGTGTTTGGTTGGACCAATTTAAAAATTATAAATTAATGATTTTCAAATTGAATTCACTAATATACCCTTAATGACAAATAAATTAAATTAACAAAATAATATTATTTCATAATTTTTTAAAAGAAATGGCGGCTGCGGTGGATGGCGGCGACGATAATGGTGGAGGTGGAAAGTAGTAGTAGTGTAGATGGTGGTGTTGGAGGACGGCGGTGGTGAAAGGCAGCAGTGGTGTTAGTAAAAGGTGGTAATAGTGGGAGTGGTGGAAGCAGTAGTGGTAGTTGTGGAAAGTGTCAGTGGTTTAGGTCATGATGGTTAAAGGTAATGGCAATGGTGGTGACAATGGTGTGGTGGCAGTGGAAAATGACAGTGGTGTAAGTAATAGTAGTGGAAGGTGGCGGTATATAATGTTCCTGATTTTTGTCATTTTCCATTTTCTGGAATTTTATTT